TGCGTGTGGCGGTCTGTGCAGCTATGGCACGCGGTACACGGCTCGCTGGTGCGATTTGACGAGTTTCCCCCCCCCCCCCATTTAGAGGATTCGGTCTCAGTGTCCGGAAGGCATTTGAGATTCAAGAGCATTAGAGCACGATGTCCAGGGTTTGCCACAAGGTTGAACTAATTGACCGTACGGGGGCTGCGTGGGGCCAATTCAGCACTTAACGCCGAAGGCAGGAAGAGGAAATGGCTGAGGAGGTCCAAACGACAAGAAGAAGAAGAAGAAGAAGGTAATCGAAGTGATGAGAAAGGCATTTTTGCAACATAATCACAAAGCATGTCAAATGTTCCTGTCTGAAGCGCAACGTGATGCTTGACGCTGTCGGTTGACATTCTGGAAAACACACTTTCTTGCCAAGTTAGACGAGAGGATCAATAGCACTCTGGTGTCTGCACAGTAAATATGAAGCTGGAGCCAGCTAGCTTAGCTCTGTGCAAAATGTGTTTACCAGCCCTTTTTTAAAAGCTCGCTAATCAAAACCCTGCATCTCCTTTGTTTGGTCCGCAGAGGAAACTCTGGAGTGGAGAAATTACAATTTGCGGCGGGTCAATGTGCCAAACTATTTCTTGCCACTGAGCAGTTGCCAGGCAACCAGGAGACTCCAGGAAGTTACTGGTCGCTGCCAAAGTCTCGCACATGAAAATGGCAGATTCACTTCGGCGCAGGTTATAAATGGAACGACCCGACCGAGGCCTCCGTCTGTCAGCGATTGGTCATTTCAGCGAAGCCACCGCCGCCTCCGGCGTTCTCCCCGCCTTCCAAGGGCACGCAGCAAAGACGTCGAGACAACATCGGGGGCCGGGGGAGACAATCGGGTCGCATTCACGGCTTATCGAGGAACGTAAAAGCCCTTTTCGTGTCAGCGGACGCAGTAAATGTCTTCTGCAGAATAAAGAAACACTGAAAATCCCCAAAACTGCTGATGTTTTCGGTGTTTAGCTTCTCACTTACTTAAAACAGAGATCGCGTCCCCGTCCCCGTTATGGGACATCCGGCAACTATCCAGTGAAGTGTCGCCCAACACACGGTGCTCCGGTTACAAAGAGAGAGACGGGCACTTCCCGGCATGCAAACACAACACGAGAGGGCACAAAACATTGAAACACAACAGAACACAGCTGGACACAACTGCACAACACGTCTTTCCAGGAACTACTGCTTGAAGAGAACAGTTTACCAATAAACATTTGGTGCACTTAGGTTATCTTCTTTTTTCCACTGTCAGGTTACAGCGTTTAAGCTATTTTCCGTCGTGTGCTTTCTTCTGTGCTGAACGGTCACAGAAGTACACCAGTGTGAACCATTCATCATTAATGGAGGAACAGATCTGCCACCAGCGAATGAGGCCTCCTCTTGCTCTCTTTGCTATTTTCAGATGCAGCCGACAGAGGAGAGTGGAAGTGGGGGGGGGGAAGCCTTTCGGCAGCGTCGGGGTTTGATTAGAAAAACAGCTCGGAAGCGCGAATGCCAAACGCCGCCACTGAAGGTACAAGCTTATGATGCTCAAGATGCAAAAAAACCAACAATGGCATTTCCCCCAAAACTCTGCCCTATACGTCGATTTCTTCTCCAGCCGACTGAGGGCCATCCGGCACGACAACAAGCCACGTTTGTGTTTATGACAACATTGTGCGCTCAGGCGCTGTGGAACAAGGACAGCAAACAATGAGCAGTGACCTTCAGGGACAGGGACAGGGACAGTGCCGTCCCTCCGAAAAAAAGAGTCAAAAAGAGACCCACAAAGTCCGGTTCGGGGATGACGAGGGGCACCTCACACGCAACAACAACAGCCACCCACTTCTGGTGCGACGCTGGAATTTTCGGAAAATTCAGCATCTCTAATTTCTATTAATGCGATAAATTAGGCCGTATTAATGCGGGTGTTGAGCTCTTTGATCCACACTTGATGTCCAATTTGGAGCACTCAATCCTCCCGTGAAGCCTCTTCATTTATATTTATGTACAGTATGTAACTCGTAACAACTGAAATATTCTAAATGTGTTTATTCCTTTCAGAAATTACACCGTTTGGATCACGGAATACTCAGGCAGCTTAGAGTTACAAATCTGTCAAATATCACAGAGGAGCTCTATGTCATCTTAGCTTGGGTCCAAACCAAGCGCAGATCAATAAGAATCATATGCAAATCATATTGTATAACACCTCATCAAACAGAAACATATCTACACCCATACATTTTGTACCCGTCGAGCATTAATCCGTGAAGGCATTCTCAGATTTTAAGAGGTGATAGAGGAAGAGCAAATGGCTTTAAAAAAACAGAAAAAAAGAGAAGATAATCAATGAATAATTGATCAATAGGTAGGCAGGATGGGTGGGAGGATTGGAAGACTCGAGCCTTCGCAAATAATCAAAGCTGCTAAGACAAGGGTCCCCACCCCCATCAGACAACGTCTTTTTCTCCCTTTGGGTGTCACCTCCTGCCTGTTTATCCCAATCCCCCCCCCCTCTTCCTCCTCTCCGACTCTTCCTCCTCCTCGTTTCTCCCTCGCAGCCCTTCAGTTTTTTTCCCTCCATTTCCCTCCACTATCTCCCCCCTTCTCCATTTCCCTCGCTCCATCCCTCTCACTCCCACTCCTCCTCTTTTCTCTTCCTCCAGCCCTCTCCCCCCCCCCCCCTCTCTCTCTCTCTCTCTCTCTCCATCTCTCTCCCTCTCTCGTCTACTGCAGCAGAAAAGCCAGCATGTGTGTGTCTGTGCATGTGTGGGTCTGTGCATGTGTGCGTCTGTGCATGTGTGAGCCGTTACGGAGCGAGCTTCACGTGATCGTGAGACGAGAAGGAGGTGGATTTTTATTTATTTATTTTTTTTAAAGGAAAAAAAGCACCGCATCCATGTCGGGATGCTGTGATCAGAGCATCGGTTGCTCGTGCGCGGCAGCCATGCAAACGGGGGGGGGAAAGCCTCAAATCATTACAGTAACGTCTCTCCTCCTGCCTCCCTTTATTTCCTCTCGCCTCCCGCTCCCTCTCTCTGATCTGTCTCATTGTATTCCCACCTCAGCATCTCATTTATTTCCGCCTCACCCCCGTCCAAGCCTCGCTCTCCGGTTTTTTTTTTCTCCGCATGTAATTTGCATCCCACAGGACCGAAATGCACAAGAGGTTCCGCCACGTTGGACGTGATGCTTTCAGAAAGAGCGAGGGTGGGGAAAAAAACATTTTTAAAAAGTGATCTGGGTCACAACGCTGTTTGACGTATAGCGCTTGAATATTAGACCAGCGGAGAGAAACGGGGCTCACCCACAAAAAAAAGAGCTGCAGCAATAGAAATGAATCCCACCCCGCACCCTGCACAACCCCCCCACCCACCCCCCCCACCTGCCGGCACAAACACCCGAAACGACTACGCTCAGTGATTGTTTCTGTGTGATTCACGAGCTCTGGGCCAAACCGATCATTGCGTAATATACGGCAATAAGCAGCAGGGACGGAACACGCCGCGAACGGTGCCTCCTCGCGCCGAGCGACCGTTTTGAATTCACCACCAAAACGTCATTCTGTTTCTGGATCAAAGTTTTTTTTTGGGGGGGGGGATCTGCTATGATGTCATTTGAAAGTCCAAACCCCCGAGTCCATCTCCCTCTCGCGCAACGCGTGGACACCTGGCAAAGAACTGCCCCACTGAGTGCTTCTTTGAGTGGGGCAGGATGGTGACCAATCAATGAGAGAGACGCGTAGAGAGAAGCCCCACCTGCCCGATCCCAAGTCCAGAGGGGCGGATCAGGTGGCACAAACCAGACTATCTGTCTTTTGGAGGACACTGAATCCAGGTATATGCAGATGGTGTGTGTGTGTGTGTGTGTGTGTGTGTGTGTGTGTGTGCTGCTATTGTCTTCCTCTATACAGTTTGTGTTGCCAAGCGTGCGCTGACTTCTGTATAAATAACTTTTTATCATCGGCACGGCATGAATTGGTCGCTGCAGGTCTCAACTGCATGTGCGCACACGTTGTGCGTGTATCCAGCGTCCACACCGGCCCTCGCACACCCTCACAACGGCACGAGACAGGATGAACAGACTGAATAACTGGAGGGTCTGAGAAGAAAAATACAAAAAGCCCATTGTTTTCACGCGCCAAAGATCAGAAGCAGTCAGGGGTACCTGTTACTCACACACCTGTTTGATCCGAGGCCATCACACTTTTGCTTTTGAGTATTTACATAAAAACAGTCAAGGGTATTCCAAAATAAGTTGTGCGTAACAATAAATCCCGTGCGTAAAAGGCATGGGGCCATTGAACTGGGACAGGGGAGAAGGGGCAGACGGAGGGGGGACGAGGGGGGACGAGGAGTGGCAAGACCCACAGCCAGCAGCAGCACCGGGGACATATGTGGGGAAAGACACTGACGAATCGGTGTCGTTTACACCCCCGTAGGAGCGTCCTCAGTGCGATGCGACAGTAAATAAGACGCGGCGCGTTGATGTCCATCGTAAACGGACAAAGGTGACCTAATGGGGGCGTTTGGACGCGGCGCAGCGGGCGCCGCCTTTAGAGGCAGATGTGTATTAAACCTTCTCGTGGAGCAGGACACCACGATGGCCGTCATGATAGCAGTAAACCTGGTTTTCTGTGAGAATCCAGCTGCCCCGAGACGTGTAATTGATCGAGTCTACAAACATGGAGGTCGGTTGTTGCATCAACTACTTATCTACCGATACGCACGGCTGCTGTAGCGTTTCCATTTCCCTTATCAGCATCAATTATTCAATAGCAGCGGGTCTGTATCCTGCTTTCTAACGCGCGCCGTCCTATCGGGGACGTCACATCACGCATACCGACAGCAAGCCCGCGGTTAATTATCACCGACTGCTTTTTCCAATGACCAATGTGACCAAAACAGACGGAAGTTTTCAAAAAACTTATCACGGCTCCAGCGGCGAGGCACGGAGGCGGAACATGCAACAGCACACGAACACGTCGGCGAACTCACCCGGGCATATTTGGAGGAATAGGGGTCTTCGAACAGCGCCCATATTCGGGGCTGCCAGGTTTTCCACCAGCCCGCTTTCCTCGCGTCCTCCTGCATGCACAGTCTTTTCAAGTCCCCGTCCGCGCCGCCCAGCGCCGGCTCGTCGTCCGGTTCTCCCGGTTCCGGATTCTCGAAGCTGTCCAGCGCCTCCTCCGCGTCCCGGTGCTGGCGGTAATTCATCCAGCAGCACGCCTCCACGTCCGTCTCGTCGATGCCCCAGAAAGCCAGCTCCTCCTCGAACAGGGGGCCGCACACGTCGTTGGGACAGTGCAACTTCCCGGTGCGGTAATAGTTCAGGATGAAGGAAAACACCGACGGGTGGCGGTCGAAGAAGAACTCGTCTAATTTGGGGTCGTAGTCGAAGTTGTTGAACGCGTCCGCCTCCGTGAGCCACGACAGGCGGGTGCCGGGCAGCGTCTTTAGGGTGCTCCGGTAGGTCTCATGGCGCACCCCCCCGCAGTTTATCACGATTTTCTCGCTTTCCGACGGACAAGTCATGTCTGCGCTGTAACATGCTTTGTTGGACGACTTGTTCCCACCCTTGCGCCCTTTGAAAGAGGATACACACACCGAACTGAGCATAGAGGAGCGGGGGGGGAGGGAGAGGATGAGAGAAACCGAAGGGAGGAGGAGGAGGAGGACGGAGGAGGAGGAGGAGTCTGCGGGGAGACAAAAAGGGGCAGCATTTTTAGAAGAAGGGAGAAATAGATGTGGATCATCAACATTGCAAATAGCATTTAAAGAGTCGCGCGCCGGTGCCCGCTGTATCTGCAGCCATTCACTTGATGATCAGCTGCTGGAAGGGCACAAAACGACCGTGTGCAGGTGCAGTGACTGAGGAGGGGCGGGGTGAGGGAAGGTGTGTGTGTGTGGGGGGGGGCAAAGTTGTTTTGAACAACAGCGTCGCGGAGCAGGAAGATGCCTCGTACTTGTTCGCGCATCGTGAGAGCGCGTCCTGTGGTCCGCATCCACGCGGGCGCGCTTGTTGACGGCGCAGCGGTAACAACGTGTGTGTGTGTGTGTTTTTTTCAGCCGGGGGTCCAAATCCCCTCATTCTCCTCCCAGCCATCACCGTGGCACCGATGTGTCTCAAAGCTCGTGTCAGTATTCATCCAAATTCCCTCCCTTATTGGGCCACTGTGAGGCTTGAGCAGCCCCCTCCCCCATCCCCTCCCACCCCTCCCCACCTGCAGCAGTCCTGCTCCAGAGCACCAAAAGATGTGAAAGGAGAAAACAGTGACGGAGAGGTGGTGGGAAGAGAGGGATACTGGGCATCCATCACCCTGCTCCCCCCCCCCCCCCCCCCCCCCCCCCCTTTCCGCCGTGCGTGTTTGTGTGGATGAGCGTGTGTGTGTGTAGGTGTTAATTGCCTCCCGAGAGTGCGGTGTCCGTACTAATGTTAGATCTCCCCGATCAGCCTGTGTGCGTGCTACACTGCTGCAGCCCCCTCCAACCGCACCGAGATTCATGCGATGCACAATTGTGTCAATGCTGTCTCTGCCACTTCTTCCATGCTGTGCGTGTGTGTGTGTGTGTGTAACGACATGTAGAGGTAGAGGGTGAGAGAAGCGGGGGTTGGGGGGGGGGGGGGGCATGAATCACGTTTTTAATGGACGGATTGAAACTGCGGGGAAAATCAGGAAAACAAGGCATGCAAAGACAAAGACCCAACGATGGGGAAAGGAAAGAGAGAGAGAGAGGGGAGATGTAGAGGGACTGAGAGTAGTACTGCCCCCCCCCCCCCCCCTCACCACACCTCCACCGATTGATGTTGGATGGGGGCTGAAGAGGGGGAGGGGGGGGGTAGCGAAAAGGAGAGTGCACCATAAAACTGAATGAATTCTGCTGCAGTAAAAAGGGGCAGTTATTCCCCTCTCTCTTTTCTCCCTCTCTCTCCCTCTCTCTCTCTCTTTGTTCCTCTCTCCTCAAGCGATGTCAAATTAATTCGCTGGAGGTCAAATTATTCCAGCTGTTGCCATGCTGGGGAGGAAGGGGGGGTTAAGATGCTTCAGAGAAGACACACATTCACAGCAAGAAAAGCCATGCGCAGCATCTATGTTGTTAACCTTTTTCTCTATTCAAAGAAATGCACCACTCTCCTCCTGCCCCCTCCTCTCCCGTGAGCTCTCACTGGCCCTCCCCCTCTCCATCCTACTACTCTCTCTCCGGCTCTCTCTCTCTCCTTCACTTTCTCTTCCTCGCTCGCTCTCATATTCCGCATAAAGGAATCACATTTCATTGAAGGAGGAGAATCAAGGCTTCATTTCTTCCTCCTCTTCCTCATCTCACAACCTGGTCATATCCCCCCTCCCCCGTCCTCCCCCGTCCTCCCCCCTCATCACTGCATTTCACTCTGTGTTTGGCTTCACTCATCTTCCATTACCATTCTTTCTCAAAGTGAGCTTCATTCACTTTGGGTCAACTGCTCAGATCTTTGCTTCCTTTCATGTCACTGCAGTTTTTTCTTTCTTACTTGTTATCTGTGTTTACTCAGTTGTTTTGATTATTTACCTGCACTTTCTATCTGAAGAAACAACTTTTTGTTGGGAGAAAGTTTGCTGGCTCCCTTTCCTCTTCAGATCTTTCATTGGCATTAAGTCATTTTTTATTTTTTTGTCTTGGTTGGAAGTTCCTGGGATTTAACAACTCAGGTAAGATCTAATAAGACCAAAGCTATTATGCAGTCAGATTTTGGAGACATGAAAGCTCACATATTTTGTGTGCAGAAAAGCATGTATTGTAAATGCAAAAAAATTGAGAAACTGACGTCTTTACATTTCTACTTTATCTCAAATACCCAATTGTTTTTAGAATTTTTTCAGATCTGCTTGCTTGCAAAAAAAAAAAAATCCTGCACTCACGAGTTTCAGAGTTGTACTGCATCATTCCGCAAAAGAGTTGTCCTGATTCTGCAACTGAAAACTAAAGAAAAATCAGCACGATTCTGCATTAAGGAAGTAATGACGACGGCCATACGACCTAAAAGTGAACAACGTGGAATTGGGGTCAGCACTTCTCCTGTGGGGCGCTGCAGCAGGATGGATTACATTTCAGCACCATGGACAGTGGCACCGTCCTTCTCTCTGGGACAAACTCTCCTCTTACGGGATGCTGGACGTTCTATTATCGGACTGTGGAACTTTTCTCCATTGGACACTTTTTGTTCCTGGTGTGACACCTCCGTTGCCCTCACTTGTTCTTCATAGGAAGCCGCGGCTTTTTGGTGAACTGCTGAATATTTTATGTGCTGACATCAAAAGGTCTGTAAAAAGTGGTCGGATGCTTTCTTGCCCTTTGACTCATGTGTGGTGAGCTTATTGATTTAAAAAAAAGGATCATATTAAAGGTTCATTTGGGTAGAGAAGATTTCTTCCCAGAATTTAAACTTCGATTTAAAACTTTAAGTGAAAGCAACTGTGAGCTACAGATCGATCTCGATGAGCTCGGGGAAGGTGAGCTCTGTAGTTGCATTTCAGGAAAATGTCCGCAGTTTCAGGGTTGCATCTTAAAATGGGGGGAGCACATCGCTTGAAGAGTCCACCTCAGGAGGGGGGGGGGGGGGGGGGGGGGGTCGGGTACATCCAGTGGCGATTAAGACGGCACAGGGAAGATAGGCCACGCAGAAAGGAATGAAGAATGAGCAAGCGAAAAACTGCGGGAGAAGTGGGACGAGAGAGGGAACGATCTCCACCGCCAGCTCTCTCTCTCCCTCCCTCTCCCTCCCTTTCTCTCTCTCCCTCTCTCTCCCTCCCTTTCTCTCTCTCCCTCTCTCTCCCTCCCTTTCTCTCTCTCCCTCTCTCTTGCAGCATTTCCTGCGTTGGCCACCACGTCCTGCGCCTCCTCGCTGCCGTTGCACATGCACGAGGGGAGGGAACAAGGGGAGAGGGGAGGGGAGTGAGACGCATACACACACACACACACACCCTGGCTGCAACAAACAGGCTAAGAAAAGCATTTTAAGGGCAAAATATGCCGCGTTCATTTAGAACCTTGAGAGGGAGGAGAGGAGCTCTGCAGCTGCGCGGTGGATCGATGGATAAAACAACGCTGGCAGGGAGAACGAGCGTACACACTGCCGCTAATACATATTAGCAGAAGCACTGCAGCAAGAGGGGGGGGGGGGGGGGGGGGGGGTTGAGGATTATAGGATGCATTGACTGTGAGGTTCCAGCAGCAGTGAGGGGGAGGGGGGGGGGGGGGTGCACGCTGAAGATCGAGAGGCAGAGACAGAAAGAGGAAGGGAGGAATATTAAGGATCGCAGAGGCGGAGTGGTTGGAGATGTGGAGAGAGGGAGAGTAGATGGGGGGGGGGGGGGGGGGACAGTAAATATGTAAGGCAGACGGGAACGAAAGAGGGAGGGGGGGGGGCAGTGGCGCAGGGTGGCACCTGAATGGATGTGAAGGTGTGGGAGGAGTCGACGGCGAGGTTAGAAACGGTCTGAAATACTAATACGAGGAAGGGAAACCATGATGAAGAGCGTGCAGGAGAGACACACAGCTCGGCTGAATGGCAAATGTGCCATTGGTGACAAAGAGGGCTTCGCAGGCAACTATGTAACGATTGCACAATGCGTGTGCGCGCGTGTGTGTGTGTGTGTGTGTGCGTAAGAGATAGCAAGAACTACATATGTGTTTCTGTTTGCGCAGCCATTTCTTTCCCACCCGCTCCCTCATCAAAGGATGTAACCACAAGGCTTCACGCTGTCTCCCTCCCTTCGTCATCTCTACCTTATCTCCCTCTCCTCCTCCTCTCCCCTCTCTCCCACTCCCCCGGTGTTGAGGAGACCCCACCAGGAGAAAGCGCGGCACTGCAGCGCGGTGAAAGCACTGCGGCCGCCTCCCCCTTTCGGTGCGCCGTCACGCCACACGGAGGCCTCTCCCCTCTCCAACGCCGTCGCTCGGCCCCGTGTGAGTCGGTTTGTGGCGGGAGGGAAGAAGCCAGATAGGTGTGTCTGTTTGCGAGGACAGCGGGGGGTGGGGGGGGGGGGGGGCCGCTTGACCCAATAATAATCATCTATGAATGCCTCTCCCCCCCAGGCTCCTCACAAAAAAGGGGTTTTCATCCCAGAGGAGCTCGCCAATGACCTGAAGCAAGCAGAAGATAAACGGCAGCTCTCCTACTTGGCCAGTCCACACATGCTGCGCATCTTGTGCCCCGGAGGAACTGGCGATGGTCCCTTCCAGCCACTTCAATTTTATGAAAAAGAAAAGAAAAAAAAAAGAGTCACGTGCTCCCGCTTGGCTCCTTTTAGCCGGCTGGTGATGATTAATACATAAGGCCACTTTCAGGAATAGACCTGCAGAAATGAAGCCTGTAATAGAGCTCTGAAAGCCCAGCGAGTGGCCAAGTGACTAAGGCCTTCCTGCCCACAGGAGGACACGTGTAGAGATTTTTTGGGGTGGGGATGGACATGCCCACAGCGTGAGACCTCGCTGGTTACAGGAGGAGGTAGGGTGGAGGGAAAGATGGAGGCGGAGGTGCTACACAGAGAGCAGGAGAGGGAGAGATTGTCAGAGAGGTGTTTTCAATCTGAGTTTTCCTCCAGTATTTAAAATCTGTTTTTTCAGAGAATTTGTATCAGGAACAAATAGTTTTAACCTCAACGCCTCCCGACAGTCTCTCCGGTAATTTAAACCTGTCGGTTCTTAATTAAGGACGCCGCCCTTACTACATGATTAGGACTGAGCCAGCAGAGCAATGATTTGGTTCAGAGGGCCCCGACAGACAAACGGGACGATGGAAGGAGTATCACTGCGCTGACTCCTGAACTGTGAGCCAGCGATTAGACAAAGAGGAGGGGGGAGTCGCAGAGGATCCTCAACAGGGGGGAGAAAAATTGGCTGATTGAATATCGGGTTTTTAAAGAAAGACGATGGGGGAAAGAGAGGTGAGCTTGGAGGTGAGCCTGAAGGTCAGGGGGAGAATCCTTAGTTGAAGGACGGAGGGAGAGAGCTCGTCGATGCGGAAGAAGGCGGGGGAGAAAGGGAGGAAGGGTCAGAGGCGAGAACACCGAGGACACGGCGGACGCGTAATTCAATCACAGCCTCGAAATAGCTTCATTCCCCCTCGATGCTTAAACAGCAGCGGCCTCCTTTTGAGCCCCACCAAACCCGACCCATCGCACCAACCGACAGCGGGGAGGCTTTTGGGTGTGGGGGGGTGGGTGTTGCTATTCTGCCTTAAATCAAAAGGGTGTTTTCTGGGTTACCCTCAATCTAAAAATAGCGGCAGCTGTCGATTCATAATGCAGGATTGTGCAGGGAGGGGTGGGTGGGGAGGGTTGCAAACGGAAGAAGAGAGTTCCCATCTGAGGAAGGGTGGCATGTTGAAAGAGAGGCAAAAGGAGGCGTTATGGGCGGAATCGTGGGGAATGTTGGAGGGAGGGAGGGGAGGGGAGGGGGGGGGGATGCAGGAGAAGAAGACCACGTCTAGACACCCAACTGCCCCCATAGACTTCCTGGATCCCGGTGACGCTTTATGCCCTTCACGTGGTTCTGCTCCAGCGCCCATCCTTCTCCTTCTCCGCCCCCCCCCCCCCCCCCTAAATCCTCTCTCCCTCAAAGGCTCCTTTATCAAAACCCCCTTCCGGGGTTTGACACCGACCACCCTGCTGCCAAAACACACACAAACACTGAAGGCACATGCGAGTGAACGCATGCACACAAATGCACAAGGCGACATCCTCATGGAGACAGTTGCTCAAACAGACACACGGTGATGCCAAGAGGGATGCACGCACGCACGCACGCACGCACACATGCAAACATTCCCCTCAGAGGCATGAAACTGCTGTGATGGTGTAGATGGGGAAACACCCTGCATTTGTGCGATGAGAAATGTTTATTAGGATGAGCGTCATGTCAGCGGATTAATGAAAAGGCGCAGGAGGAGTTGTCCCCCCGCGTTGTAGCAGCCGGAAATAATAACGCAAACATTGAGGTTTGTGAGGCTAAATGGGACGTTTATCCCACATCCCGATTCCTCCGGATATCGATTAAAGCGCAAACGCAGAAGTAGAAAACAGATCGCAGTTAAGCTGAACGAAACGGTACTTGTTGAATGCTTTGTTCCCTCGCTTCTTGCCCACAAACGCCCCGTTAACCGGCGATACGCGCAGAATATGGAGCCGCCGAACACAGACACGCACACAGACACGGTTCGTACTCACTTGCTTTTGGTTCAAGTTGGTGTCGAGTGCGCGCAGAAGCCCGCACATCGAGGCTAAAGATCAATCAAAATGTAGTTTTCTTCTTCTTCTTTTTTTTTTTTTAGATCGATCTTTCTTATGCTTTCAGAGCGTATCCAGGTTTTTTTTCGCAGGCGTTCGGTTGTTGTTGTTGTTGTTGTTTTTTCCTCCCCGATAATTATAAATCAAAACATGGTCACGCGCGACTGTTGCTTTGACGCGGATGTTGCCGCTCGCTTCTGGCAGCTTGTGGTCATGCTGGTCGATGCCACGGGCGCGTGTCTTTCGGATGAAATGGAGCAGAGTTTCCCCCCGAAAACTGTTTTTCTTTCCTTTTGCTATTTCCCCAGGATTTTTTGAGCCCCCTCTCCCCCCCCCCCTACCGCCCTCCACACCTCCTCCCCCCCCCCCCAAAAAAAGAAGAGAGAATAGAACAGCCAGCGTTTGTCACAGTGTCTCTACGCGTGCCGGCGCGGGGCGGAGCAACCATCGGCTCTTCCTCTGTCTCCCCCCGCAGATGTTTCAATGGAGATGCATCCTGCAGACACCTCTGCTCCTCTGGCGGAGCGTCACCTTCTGCACTGGGTTTTTTCTCTCCCTCAGACGATACATGTGGGCGGATTATAGAGAACAAGAGGATGGGGGGAGGAAGGGGGGGCGATGATCTCTCATATGGCTGCTGAACTTGGCATGTGCTATAATGCCTTTAGGTTCATATGTACACATCATTCCTATAATAGGAATAACTGTTTTTTTAATCATCTGTTTATTGTCACCCGCCACCCCCCCCATCACTCTCTCCCCCTCCTTCCTTCTCTTCCCCACTTTGACTCCCCAGCTCCCACATGCTCACTGTGCCGGACAGCCGCACCATTTTGTCTCCAGGTTCCTTGACTTTGCCATCATCGGGTACCTGGCAGCAGAGGAGCAGGTGGGTTCTATCTCAGTGGGGAGTAAAAAGAAATCCCAATAATGACAGTAAAGACGAAGAAGAGGAGGGAACACTGTCTTTGCACCGGAGGCAGTTTTTGCTCTAAACAAACGTTAAGGAATGTCTTCTCTTTTTTTTTTTGATGAGATTCCTGGGACCCAAGACACGCAGGAACAATATCACACTAGATTGGGAAATATCCAACCAAGGTTTTTGCAGGAGGCCTGAAGGTCTGAGCCCAAGTGCAATGATCATCAATGCTGCTGCTGCGCTTATTGTCAGGGAACTCCGAGTGAAGAGCAACACAGCCTCATGAATATACAACAGAGGTAAAGGTGTTTGCTTATAGGTGCTTGTACCAAAAGTCAAGAAGAAAGGAGAAACTTCTGCACGAAGAATTCAAACCACACACGGGTTTGTAAATGTGTCCTATCCCTTTATACTGTTCTACTGGAGCTGAGGCCAAAACAAACAACACTCGGCTCTGCAGAGTTTCCAAACCAGCTAACTCGCATGTGTTGAGACTGGAGGAAAACCAAGTGGACAAAACGCTGCCAAGATAAAGGTCAGGCGTCTAACTGCTATGAGGTCAAACACACATCTCCCTTGTAACTAAAAAAGCAGAGCTTTTTTCTCTAGTGAACCGTTCCTTCCAATCATCCAGACACGTACGCACTGGGAACTGTGTCGGCTGGGAGAGAGTGTTGGTAGATTATCAGGAATGTTAAACTATACTGCAAGATTCACAGGTTTCTTTCTATTAGGATGTACTCATGCACCGTGGGGACAAGGGCCACATTTGAATATCAGCATGAAAACATTCTCGCTGGGATTTAGCAGGATTCAGCAAGTTACCATGCGAACGCTTGCAAATGATCAACTAAACACAAATTAGGTTGAAGTGAAACCAAAGCATCGGGCAAATGCGGATGTTCGCTGCCAAGACATCAGAATTATGTATCAAGAGGCCTTGAATAGCATCCGTTGGCTTGGAAAAGTCAGGAGGTCGGCTCAAGCCATTCGGGGGCGTCTCCTCGGGGGAACACGGACGCCCCGACATCACGTCCTGGCTTCCAATCCGGATTTTTGTTGACGCACTAACGCCGCCGTCCGTGGAACCCTGCTGCTAAAAGGAGAACAGACGCCGCAGGAAGTTGGTCTACGGGAAAGAGGCCGACAGCGTTTCTTCATCAGCCTGCATGAATACTGAATGTTGAACCTTGTTTGTTTGGAGGGAGGGAGGGAGGGAGGGAGGACGCGAGCAGCAGACCCGAGAAGGCTCGGTGGAGATGGAGTGGATGTTCTCAGCATTCTTTCCCGTTGGCCCGTGTGCAGTTACAAATGACGGTGCAAAGACTAATTGAGGAGGAGAAACCAGTGGTTCAATGGTCTCCACTGACTTATCATCCAAAAAAAGACGTGTCCCGCGACCGCCGTCCGTGCTCAGACGTGAAATAACGTCGAGCGGAAGCTGCTTGCAATTGGGAACGTGAAGTAGATTTTTGATGACAAAACGCACGAGCCAAAGTTTGCAGAGCTGCCGGTTGTATGCGGCTTACGATCATCAGTAGAAGCGGCGCAGCAGAGCGGAAGACCGTGAGCTGCAATCTTATTGAATTATGAATCAAGTGCAACGCCAGCTCAATGCCTCCAAAGCCGTCGTGAGGTCTGTTAGATGCATCCCTCTGACGTTATTTTAAGCTCTGCGGTATCAAACATTGAACCACAGTCATTTTGCCGCCGTAACAAGCGATGAAGCGTTTTCTCTGTGGTTTCACTTGTTTATGAAGAATAGTCTCAGTTCTCACATTGTGATGCAGTAAACTCCATGAAAGGTTCAATGCATTTGTTGAAACGGTTTTGATTGATTTAAGGGGTTTGTGGTGGAGAAATTGTTTACAATGTGGCATTAAAAACAATTTGAAAAAATGTGTATGAATGGGTTTTTTTGCTGTCCATTTTTGAAAAACAGGTCTACTGTTACTGAAAAATCTGATGAATATTTGTTTGCATTCTCATGTTATGTTACTGTGTCCACACTAACACAATACATGTGACACATTTAGTGATCTTATTTCCAGTGTTGTAAATCTGAGTGGTTTTCAATGCAGCATTAAGTTTGGAGTCAAGTTAAAATAAAAGTTAATCTTCAGCAATACAATCCCTCAAATCTCTGCTGCATTTTCCTGACTAACAGTTCCACCACTAGATGTCTACGAGCACTAAACAAAACATATAAGAACATTTTTGTGAGCAGATTAGTGGATTTCCATATCAAATTTCTTTAAGAGGTTTGCTATTTCTTTCCATCGAAGACAAGACCTTCACAGGAGGCCCGAGGCCCACGTGGCACCTGATTTAGAGGCTGCAGGCCGAGGACATCATCGTCTCTTCAGCAACGCCGGGCGTGCGTCAAATCACAACGCAGAGACAACAAATCCCTCACAGGAAGTCTGCTGTGGCTTCATTAAAAACACGGACATTGCAGATTGTGTGAATCAGACTTAATTTCATCAAAATGATTATGAAAAACCGTCCGACAGTCTGTATGATGATATAAAAAGCAGTACTTTTGCTTCCGAGACCAAAAGGCAACCACGTGAACACACTTGAGAAGAAGAAAAACGACACCGCGGCCCTGCGAGGACCCTGAACGCACCGCCGGAAGTGAAGCGTGAAACACCTATTTACTGTGCAGCGGTGCGACGCACTGATCCTGGCAGGTAGGAACGCTCACGTGAGGCCGAGCAGCTGAAAAGTGTTGAATCACATTTGATTAACGGTGTTCGGTTCCCTGTGGCGATCCGGCTCTGGACGAACTCTACAGGTCATTTCCAAAATAGCGAAGCGCTTTTACCTGGACGAGCGAGACGTCGACGAGCTACAAAATAAAGATGGTCACATTACGTTCAACCTTCTGCTTCCCAGAGACCAGCTTAAGGAGACTGGAGGCGGCATCCCTGGGGAGGGTTCGTTTGATAGACAAAAACAATGCAATTCATCTACATAGAAAGAATTTATCTGGTTTTATTTATACCTTTTTAAAACTCATAAAAGGCAACCGGGGAATTGGCATTACTACAAACAGTCATGAGAGAACAAAGCTCTGAACCAACACAATGTGAACAACACCGGACCCATTTGTTTGTTTGGAGCGACGGCACAAATGATTGAGTTCTCATGAGCAGTCAAGAAATTGAATTGGATCTTTAAACATCTGCTTCAGACGGCTGAAAATAACACGTGGGGGGGGAAACGATGTCCTAATTAAAGAAAGGTAAATAAAAGCTCTGGGTTTGATTCCCCGGTTCGGGTCCCAGCCCGGTTTGCTCTGGCAGAACACTCCCGGTTTTTGGGGCAAGTCTTTCAAATCCTGGAATGAGTCTAGAAAACCTCTCGATTGTTTCCAGCACGGCTGCTCTCGTCCAAATACGATGTGGAAGACTGAATTCATAATCCCGGGAGATTCTAGCGCTTGTCCTTGTTCTTGGGAAGCTTTGGCTTCCTTGTTTTTTTCGTTGCGGAGTCTTTGTTGTTATGACCGGCTTTAATCTCTGCCTCCCAATGTTTCTTCACCATCGTGTAGAGCCTCATGGTGGCCTGAGCGTCTTGGACCTGGGAGACAGCGGGACAACAGGCGTTCATAAAAATAAAATAAAAAGGTGTTCTCGGGTTATTTGCTGTTGTCTGAATCGACCGAAACATTTTAGCAGATTGATGACGTTGTCGATGACTTACGGATGAATGTTCACCCTGTTGGACCTTAACGTTGAGTATCTCTCTACAGAGCACTTTCAGAGCGGGCCGGCCACTCTGAAAACAACAAGACAACGATATCATATGCAGAACTTACAACACCTACTCCGAGAACCGGGCAGACTGAAGAGTAGTTCATGTACCTTTACTGCCCTCCTGAAAGGTTTGTACTTCTGAGTGTCCCGGATTTTCTTCTTCGGATGATCCAAACGTAAAATCTGAGACCGGAGTTAGAGATTAGTACGCGGGGGCGTTTTCATCGATTTTGAAAACCGTCTCAATTCCCCTCTCACACGTCACATGCGGTGTACCTTCAGGTCATTGTGTAGTGCGTGTCCAACCACTATTCTGCCTTGCAGGATATCAGCAACCTCCCTCTGCACTACCTGTGAATCCTCCCCTGCGACGAGGCAAACATCAAAGTTACGTAGGAGTTCATGAGGCCTATTTTCCGTTTGTCATTTAGCCGTTCATCAAAACCACCGAACTTACCGTCTTTAATGTCCGCCGGTCGGATTCCACTGACAAAGGTCCTGTAGTCGGTCACCTTTTCGGTAGGTTTCACGTACTTGTCGTAGATGCATTTCCCAAAGTGGTTCACGATGGACACACGAGCCAAGATGCTCTCCTCCCCATCGGGACCGACTCCCACCATCTCGCAATCGATGGCCACGGCTCTGGTGAGGCTGACAGATGCCAAACGGGGGGGGGGGGGAGAAAGCACAGTCTCACACATCTGTTTGTCTCCGTTCTGCATCTTTTCGTCATTGTCGCTGCCTTCACTCACCCCTCAAAGGCTCCCTGCTTCACCAGCAGGCTCTCCGCCTCGTTCTTCCGGATGCCCTGCTTCCTCCTCATGACCTCCGCCGCCTCCGCTCCCACCGTCGCCTCAATGTCGTCGGGGTCCACGTCGTCGAACCAGATGTCCGCCCTGCAACGGCACGGAGCAACGGGGAAAGTTAGGAGGCGCGATCCTCCTGCACCCGACGGGAGCCTTTGTGCACTTACTCTGTGGCTTTCTTTTGTTGCGCCTCGGGCTTTGGTTTCTTGCCTGCCGGCTCGCTCCTTAACTTCCCTCCGTCTTTGTTCCTTTTCGGAGCCGCGGGACGTTTCGGCTCCGTCGCAGCCGGAACCGCAGAGCCCGCGCCGGAGTCCTTGGGCGATGAACGGCTACGATGAGCGGGCTTGTGCTTCGCTTTCGCCCCGGCGTCCGTCTGCTTGGGCCGGACGTTGCTCGTGGAAACCTGCTTGGTAGAATTTCCTGCAGCCCCCTGCTCTCGCACGGCGCCGTTGGGAGGTCGAGGTGTGACGGGCGGCTTCTTCTCCGGCTGACTGGCCTTCAGCATCTGCGCAGGGTTTTGCAAAGTTGTGAACGATCCCATTGAATGTGACAACATACGAGGCAAAGAGACGACGTGAACATTGAACGAGCTACAAGAGACACAAGTGTCATTTTAACCACGAACCTCTTGCAGCAACTTCCAGTTAGCAGAGAACTGCAGTTCATCCTTCGGAGGTGCTGGTTGCTGAACTTTAGGTTTTTCTTTCTTCACGGGCGGTGGTTTGATCTTTATGAACTTCTCTGTCATCCAGTGTTTCCTTTTCTTTTTACATGTGTATTTCACGCCTGAAGATGCGCGTGGTTGCGTTTTGGCGGACGAGTCTTTCGTAACAGGCTTCACCTTCGACATTATGGCCAGTTTGGGTGGAAGCGGTGCGCGTGTTTTTATTAACGTAAGTTAACGTTAAAGTTCAAACGTTAAACGTGTCGAGCCACGCTGGACCGTGGAGCTCCTTCACTTGGTCACCAGCTAAATTAGCGTTTAAAAAAAAAGTGGCGGGTTAACAGCGGTCTCACCAGAATGTTCCCGTGGGGTAAGTTTGCCGTGGAGCCGCGGCGACCCGCGGGTTTTGTTGGAATAATTCCCTTAATTGATCAGAAAACGCTCGCTAGCTAACTTGTGCTGCCCCATAAGCCATGCTGAACTGTATTTTTTCGATGGGTGCAGCGGCTAAATGTGTCCGGCACGAAAGGGAACTCGCAATTGAAATAACTGAGCAAAAAAACATCCAACGGCGTGATTTTTAACGATATTCCGTCAAATGTACGTGGCGTGTGTATGTATATAATACTCCGAAGTTTCTTTTAACTTATTCATTCCTGGAGTTTATTTTTCTTTTTAATTAAAAAAGGAAAAAAGAACGTTTGTTCCACGTTTCCCGTCGGACGGAGAAAGACGAAGGACACAACGCAGCCCGACTGAACCACCGACGGAATAAACGCGTCGGACCGAAGGAGCCTCCCCGGGTTTGTACTTTGTTGCTTTCCTCACGTTTACAATAAACTAAACAGGTTGTCTTGTATCGAAAAGCTCCGTTGGTGTTTTTCAGGAACATGTTTCATAACGTCAGCTGCTTTTCTTTTAGCGTAAACCTGTTTAGCAGCTGCTAACGTCAGCTTCTACGTGTGAACTAACGTTGACGTTACTTATAACAAAAGGTCCGAAGCTTCTTCTGTTCTATTCATTTTCTTTTACAATGTAACCTTTCAGAGAATGGGGGTCACTCCCTCTCCTCTGCCCGAGAGAGCCATTTACGGCTTCGTCCTTTACCTCGGCTCACAGTTTGGCTTCTGTAAGTTTCATTTTCCTTTTTCACATATTCATATTTAAATATGAAACACGTCTAAGGAGGGCAGACAATCCACCATTGGGTCATTTAATAGCATTGTTACAGTTACATGCACAATGAAGGCTCAGTTATAAAAACATCTTCATCCCACTCACTGTCGGTTTACAGCGAATTTAATTGCAAAGCCTTAACTGTGTGTGTGTGTGTGTGTGTGTGTGTGTGTGTGTGTGTGTGTGTGGTCGTTTCAAAGAAAGCCCCATAATCACTTTCTCGATGTCCACAGTGGATTAGTTGTGTGCGCGATGTGACGTCTTCTTTCCCTTCCTGTCCTCGTAGTTCTGTATTGCCTGTGGGCCTTCATACCAGAGGAGTGGCTTCACGCCGTAGGGCTCACGTACTGGCCTCAAAAGTAAGCAGAACATCAGGTGTGACACTGTTATCCAATAGCACGTCCCTTCTCCTGAATTATAAATTCTTATTATATATATTATATAATTCTAATACTTTTTTCTTTCCTGCTTTAGATATTGGGCGCTTGCTGTACCGATCTATCTTCTGGTTGCATTAGTGATCACTGTGGTGTTGCTGTTCGGAGTGAACATGAGCAACACGGCTCCACTGCACTCCCTGGACAACATCACAGGTGAGAAGACTGACTTGCAGGATGGGGGACAATCAGGTGGCAACTTTATGGTCCGAAAGGGAAGCCAAAGATTAGTAGTCTTACTGTATAGCATATATATATATATATATATATATATATATATATATACTGATCCTAACGTCCTTTGATGTGTCCTTTCGGTCACAGATGTGTACGCTCAAGGCCAGAGGACAGCAGACGGCCAGAAGGGAGGAATACCCAGACTAAAGGATGTTTCCATCAGCGAAGTCAACAAAATGTTCTATTTGTCGCCGGAGTCCTAACTAACAGGAAGTGACCTGCATGCAATTTCTGCTTTTATTTAATTGTCCAGGATTGATGCCACATGGGGAAATGATTTACTGAAATAATTGACTGTCTCTAACCGTTTGATATGCTCTGTGTGTGTGTTAATGAAATATGTAACACAATATTAACACGGTAACAATTGGATGTATATTGGATGATCAAGCAAGTTTTACTCAATAAATTATACTTTTTTTATACATGTGTTTTGCGCAATAGTACATATAAGCTATTATATGTTGTGTATCCATGATCCTCTCAAAAGGTAAAACCTCTGACTGAGGGCCACAAACGCAGGGGCCCAAAGTGTAAGCGGCCCAAAACAAAGCTTTTCCACCTCCACACTCCCAGTTGAGAGACGGGAAATTGCACTTTTCTGTACCCAAATAACGAACAAAGTAGTTTCCATAAGAACGTTGCATTGAAATGACTCCAGTACTTTTATTCCCTTTATTATGGCGCCACAGACCGCTTCATTCCTGCCCACTGGGGGGCGATACAGTTGAGCTTTGCGGACCGCCTGAAAGAAGAAGACCCCTGCTTCCATTGTACTTGACACCTTATTTATTTTTTAGGTCGTTTGTTGCCCAAATAGCCCCCGTTGACCCCCCCCCCTCCAGTCGTACGCAAATGGCCTTCGCTCTGCCGGTGTGGCTCGCGCTGCACGAGGAGCTCCTCGCGCACGGCGCGCCGGACTCCGCGGACCCTTTGGACGACTTCGACGACGACGCCCTGTTCCAGGCGTTCCACCTCACCAGACCCTGCATCGCCTTCGTCGCGGACGCCGTCCGCGTCCGCATGAAGAACAACGCGGCCTTCAGGAGCCCCGCGGCGGCGGCGGCGGCGGCGGTGTCGGTGGACGCGGCGGTCTTGGTGGCGCTCAACTATTACGCGCACGGCGCGTCATCCGCCGACGTGCTGCAGCGGGTGGGCCGGGGGCGCCTGGCGGACCCCCCGGCCCTCATATGCGGCGTGTCCGAAGTCGTCGCGGGCATGGCCGACCAGTTCATCTCGTTCCCGCTGCTGCGCGACGCCAAGCTGCACGTCGCCTCGCAGATCAAGGAGGCGTGCGGGATCCCGCACGCGATCGGCGTGTTGGCGCCGGCCCACTTCCGGATACGAGCTCCTCTTACGAGAAGGAGGCTTCCGGTCCTTCGTCAACAGCCTGGGTTACACCACGGTGGTGAGCCAGGTCATCTGCGACTCGGAGGGCAACGTGCTGAGCGTGGAGAAGTGCTGCGTGGGCGGCACGTGCGAGCAGGAAATGTGGGAGACGTCGTTCAAAGGGAGGGAGATGGAGGAGGAGCTGCACGGGCCGTATTGGGTTATTGGTGAGATGGGAAACAAACAAACAAACACCATTAAGAGTGTTGAGCCCGCAACTTTATTTGTATTGTTTCATGTTCTACAAAATGTGGAATTAGCGCGCGCACACACACACACACACACACACACTAAGCTGCTCTTTGGAAAATAGACATCATTTATCACACAAACAGTTTACGCTTTGCTACCCACAGCAGTGCATTGGGTTAAATAAAATAATCCGGTAACTAAGGTAAATGTGTGACGTTTTTTACCCCAGAGCTTCCGGTTGTCTTCCTCAGAAAAATCAGCAAATCTTTTTTTAAAAAGCGGATAAGTTCCCCTTTGAGAATAAACGTTCCCACGTGATCATTCAGACCCTTTCCCTATTGGACAATACACACAGATAACATGATAGTTTTGTCTATTTAAGCTCTTAAAAAACACCCGTACCCCTTTCTAGTTTTTATTGATCGCCTTCTCTCCCGGCTCTCTTGCAGGAGGAAAAGGATATCACTTAAGCAAACATGTCATGACCCCCGTGTCGGAACCGGCCAACGACAACGAGGTCCGCTTCAACGAGGCCCACGCAAAGATCCACGACGTCATGCGGACCACGCTGGGCTCCATGAAGAGGCGTTTCAGGTGTCTGATGCAACTCGGCTTTGCGCAGGAATGCTCTTTGGACAAAAAGGCCGACGTCATCAAGGCGTGCAGCGTGCTGCACAACATCGCTAAGAAGTTCTCCGTCCCCGCCCCGCCCGCAGCCGGGAAAATCGAGCCCCTGCACCCGGGCAACCAGAATTCAGTGCCGTTCAACATCGACCCGGAGGCCCTGCAGGCCAGACAGGAACTCATCCAGCGCAACTTCTCCGTTGGCTCCGCCAGCAAGGACCCGCCAAGTAACGCGGGCGAGAATTTGTGAGCAGAGAGAGAGAGAGAGAGAGAGAGCGTGCGTGCGTGCGTGCGTGCGTGTGTGTGTGTGTGTGTGTGTGTGTGTGTGCGTGCGCGCGCGTGTGTGTGTGTGTGTATGTGTGTGTGCGTGTGCGCTGCAGGAAGCAAAGAACAGTACTAAAAAAGTATTATCCGTTGTTTTTATGTAGTGCCGTATTGTATTTCTTGTACAAAGAGAAAATCAGTATTTTCTACACACATTTTTTGTTTTTAATAAATGTAATTTTAAAGTTTTTTCATTCGACTGGAGGGTCAACGTAATAAGAACAATAACGATGTATATTTTGTGGATGGAGGAGCACACGTTTACAGGTTAAATAAAACTGACCATTCATCTACAGTAAATATATAAGACTTACATTTTTGCATATTCACAGTTTCTAACAAAAATAAAGCATTGAGTCTATAATTAGTCAGACTGACTTCTGCGCTGGCGATCTTGCAGTTTAGGCTCTTGTCAGCTCCCGGAGCGCAGTGGCGTTGGTGTAAATCATTTCTGCGTTCTCGTATATGTTCTCTTCGGCCTCCTCGTCCTTCTGCAGACAGTCCATGATGCATTGGTGCAGGAAGACGTACTGTGACTGGAAATCAAGTCACCCGAGAGGCCGGCCATTAGAAAAGCAGAAGTTTAAGTGTGCAGTGTATTCTGGCAGGCGAGTCTCAGTTCCCTAATAATGTGGGGAGGCTTTCGTACTTACAACTCATTAAGAAGAAGTAAAGTTTATATTTCGAACCCCGAGGTGATGAGCGCTTTTACCTCCGTCTGCACCATGTGTGGTCGGCTCAGTCTCATCTTGCGCACGAAGGCGTTGATTCCCACGGCTCTTTCTCTCTCCAGCTGCTGCAGCAGCACATCCAGAGCGATGATAGTGCCGGTCCTCCCCACTCCGGCACTGAGAGGGACACACAGCCAAAAGTAGGCGTCCAGGTCTCAAAGTCAAACTCTGAACTTCACGTTCCCCCCCCGTCTTTGGCCTCTCTCTTGCAGACAACGGGGAGTCGTCGAGTACCTGCAGTGCACCACGGTTGGCGCTTCAGCACCTTCCCCCTCGATGTGCCGCCTCACCAGCCCTCTGAACTGGATCAGGACGCCTGTGCCCTGCGGGACTCCGTGGTCGGGCCAGGCCGTGAAGTGAAAATGTCTCACGGTGCGCTCCTCTGAGTAATGCCTCTGTGGAGCAAATAAGTCTTGAACCAACGAATGCATTTAATGAGTTGCCGTTTTCACTGATTGAACATTTGAGACATGTTCCGTACATGTTTCACCCTAAACTCCCTCAGTGTCCAGTTGGGCTCCTTCTGCTCGAATCGGGTGCTGACCGACAGCTCTCCGTGAGAGCAAGGCTTTCTGTCTGCAGGCCAGTATTGCTCACACTTAGTCTAGGGAAAAGAAACACCAATATTGGGTTATTATAAAACCCCATTACCATCTGAGTACACATCAGCTATAAGAGCAAACGAGTGGACAACAATTGATTATTAATTTCGTTGGCACCCCCAAAATCTTTCCGTACGGCGTCGTAGCAACCTTCCCGGTGACTCACCCGTCCTCCCTCGGTGCAGTTGGTTACCATGACGATGCCTTTTACTCTTTGTTCCCAGATCATCCTCCAAAAGTCGCTCACGGTGGCGGGCAGCGGACCCTGGGTGGCGATGTAATCCCGGTCGCTTTTGTAGCCCTGAGAAGCGACAGTCGACACCGCGTTGTTGCACGTGGAATCAGACACGCTCAGCACTCACTCGCTGGACTCCCAAATGAATGTGCAGATGTTTTAGCCAAACGTTTACTCGCAGCTCGGGAAGCTCCGTCACAGACAGCCAATGTCTCAAGCGTATCTAAATCTGCCGGCTTCGCAGCGGCACCCACCGGCATGTAACAGGCGTTGATGTAGTCGGAAGCTTCGTTGGGGTTGAGTGTACTCAGCTTCACCCGACACCAGTCATCTAGGGTGACAAAACAGACGACGGTTCAGCTGTCGATGCACCGAGCAGGCGAGCAGGCTGAGCTCAGCACGGACCCCCGATGAACGGGGACAGGCTTACACGGCAGGACGTTGTTGAAGCGGTTCCTCGGTTTGTTCTGGGGTAGAAGAGCCGCCGCTTTTGTTTGCTCCATGCCGACGGAAACCAGGCTCTGCGTGGACATCGGATGAGACGGCAACGTGATGGAACGCAGAGAGCGAGTGAAACAGTCCTCCAGATGTACACACACACACTACAATACGATACGTATCGTATCGTACTACGATACGATACGTATCGTATCGTAGGTACGTACCTCATATTCCTCACTGAAACCTCTGCCTTCATCCATACTCAATTGGTAGAAGTGTTCTGGAAACTTTGCCACGGAAATGTCCCTGGAAAAAATAATAAAACATTGGACCCATAGCTGTAATAGTATTGAAGACAATTGACACATAAAAAGCGTGTTAAATGCTGTATATTTTCATATGTTATCGACCTTTTAGTCTTCTGTGTTTATACAAGATATAATTCACCTTCCGCTACGTTGTAATGTGACTGTGGTGTTTCCATTATGTACAAACACAAACTTACTTGATCTTTTTAATGGATTGTCTGGTGCCGCCAATGAATGGATTTTTTCTGCTGTGGGAACAAAAGCAAATATCGTCCCTGACTGAGTCCGATTCACCAGACTTGTGGGAATGACATGACAACGGTCTCTGAAGGCACCACCAACCTGATGATATCTGGTCTTTTAAAAAAAATGAAGACAGCCAAAAAGACCAGGAGACAAAAGATCAGCACAGCAAATACTGCCCCTGCGATGACTCCTGCAGAGGGTAGAAACCAAATGCATAAACATGTACAATAAAAGGGTCTAAAGAGCTCTATGGAGTAACAATGTCTCTTTCGCTCACCCCTCGGATCAGTGAGACATGAAAAAACAAATGGTTCCCCACTGCTTCGCTGCCCAGACTTTGAATGTAAAGACACCTCGTAGTTCCTGGCAGGTTGGAATCCGGTTATCTTGACTTCTTGTTTCTCATTTGGGAGCACGCTTTGCATATGCCCGCTCACGTTCACCTCCACCGACGTCCACACGCCACGCGGTTCACTCCAGACGACGTAGACAGAGTAGCCAGCGTCCACGTGCTCACAGTGAGCGGTCAAATACGAAGGAACTGTGAGGCGAAGAGGAAACGGAGGAAATACGCCTTTACGATACGATCCCAAGACAGTCAAACGACACAGCGAGAAAGTAATGGTACAACAGCCGACCCACAGCACACTATCTTGACTACTATTATCAGAATTAATAAGTAACTCAAGCCAACTCAAGAAAATGCCTTATCGTTCTGTCAATCATTCAGGCGACTTCCTTGTACTATTTGTTGGGTAGGCCTACGTCAAATTTTTCCGGAGGATTTTGGCAGTTGAACAAAAGAACAGTCACTGTTTGACTAATCGATGAATCGTGGCTGCAGTCCACATAATAATTCTCAACCATCTCAAATAACCCCAACCAGGTTCGAATTCATTATATATTTACATACACATTATAGACTGGGAAAGATCACGCACATCGGCACTTCTCAACATCAGTTAATGTGGCGAAACACATTCGTACTCACGGATTGTCACGTTGTGGCGGCACTGAAGAAAGGATCTGGATTGTTTTTCGTACACGAGAGAAACCTGGTAGGTCGCACCGGGCCAGAGGCCGGCGAACAGCACGTTGGGGCTTCCTGAGTTGTTGACATTCTGCGTCCCGTTAGTGGCCGTTGCCTTGGAGAACAGGCCTGTGATAGCTCCTTGGATTGATGAGTTAGTGACGTTCCAGGAGCAGTGCAGGGCTGGAAGGAACGAGAAAACAGAAAAAGAAAACCTGGCATTCAAGCACCTGGAAACTGGCTGTTGTGGATTGTCACTTGTAAATGATCCATTGGGCGCGTGCATACCCGTCACCGTGAAGTCCTCGTACGGCCTGCTGTGGAGCCCAGAGAACGTCGTGACCACGCTGAAATTATACAGCGTTCCGGGCGTGAGGGAAGAGAACGAATGGGAGACGCTACCCGTTGTACTCGGGGAGAGTTGGAAGGCTGTCCCGTTCACATTGTACTCCCAGTCTTGGTTGACCGTCTGCCACTGCAGGGTTACGCTGGTCGCAGAGCGTTTAGTCACATTGACCGAAGTCACTGGGGGGGGAACTGAGAACACAAACACACGTGAAAGGGTTAAGCTCAACGTCTGGAAGGCGTTTTGGGAGATTTTCAAATACAAGCCTAGATATTATGAGGTATATCAGAGGGTTAGAGGCCCAGGTCACTACTGGTAGTATTATAATGTAAAATCAATCAGCCTTAGTTACCGTGAATCTAAACGGTGCTGTTGACTGTTGAAGTGAATCGGCTTCGTATGTGACTGATGCGTTTTGATGAGATATTCTGATAGTGTTCTGTTTGTTATCATATTGTTCAATGTATGATGAGATAAAAATGTAACGTTCTCCCGCATGAGAGTTATACTGCTCTCATTTTGTTACATCGACGATTAGAATCATTTACATTTCCAGGAACTGAAAAGACGAACGGGTCGTTTGAGCAAATCATTAGCTGGATTCAACTCCATTGTCTTTATCAATTTACCATCCTTCCATGAAAAATAAGAAACCTCAAATTAAAAAACTGTTACAGAGCCCTTGCTCGTGTTGTTTTATTTGGGGAAATCTCACCAGTGGATGCACTGTAGGTCACTCCGCTGCTTGTGACATTTCCAAATTCAGTGAGGAGAGTGAAGTAGTATCTTGTCCCACTTGTGAGGTTTGGGATTGTGTGATTCACATAGTCTCCCCCTGTTGCAGTGACATTGTTCTCCGTTTGATTGAAAACCAGTTTATACTGGAGGATTTTGTCCACTTTCTTCCACTGCAGAGTGATACTGGTCTCAGTTTGACCCAGCGTCTTTAACTCTTTAGCGTTACAAGGAACTGGCATGTAAAAAGACACGGGGAAGACAGTTTAACCAAATGTGAGTTAAAAAAGATCACAAGCAATTTCTAATAAAACAGTGTTTTATTTTAAACAGGAAATAATTTGACAAAATTCCATCATTTGTTTCAGCTGAAACGATGAAGTGAGCATCTCCTTTCTGTGACTGACAACCTTTGAGTAATATCACATCTTCACAGATCTTTGTGTGTGCTCTTGTTACATTCTACATCAGAAGAAAACACCTACCAGTGACGGCGTTGCTATTGACTCCCGTGCTGTTCAATTGATCAAACAGGGTGAAAAGAGTGAAGTTGTATCTGGTCCCACATGTGAGGTTTGGGATCGTGTGATTCACATAGTCTCCCCCTGTTGCAGTGACGTTTATCTCCGTTTTATTGAAAACCAGTTTATACTGGAGGATGTCGTCCCTTTTCTTCCACTGCAGAGTGATACTGGTCTCAGTTTGACCCAGCGTCTTTAACCCTTCAGCGTTACAAGGAACTGGCATGTAAAAAGACACGGGGAAGACATTTTAACCAAATGTGAGTTTAAAAAGATTACAAATTACTATAAAACAGTGGTACTTTTCAAACAGGAAATAATTTGACAACATTCTACTATTTGTTTCAGCTGAAACGATGAAGTGAGCGTCTCCTTTCTGTGACCGAGAACCTTTGAGTAATATCACATCTTCACAGATCTTTGTGTGTGCTCTTGTTACGTTCTACATCAGAGGAAAACACCTACCAGTGACGGCGTTGCCATTGACTCCCATGCTGTTCAATTGATCAAACAGGGTGAAAAGAGTGAAGTAAAAACAATCTTACCAGTGACGGCGTTGCCATTGACTCCCCTGCTGTTCAATTGATCAAACAGGGTGAAAAGAGTGAAGTTGTATCTGGTCCCACATGTGAGGTTTGGGATCGTGTGATTCACATAGTCTCCCCCTGTTGCAGTGACGTTTATCTCCGTTTTATTGAAAACGAGTTTATACTGGAGGATGTTGTCCCTTTTCTTCCACTGCAGAGTGATACTGGTCTCAGTTTGACCCAGCGTCTTTAACCCTTTAGCGTTACAAGGAACTGGCATGTAAAAAGACACGGGGAAGACATTTTAACCAAATGTGAGTTTAGAAAGATTACAAATTACTATAAAACAGTGGTACTTTTCAAACAGGAAATAATTTGACAACATTCTACTATTTGTTTCAGCTGAAACGATGAAGTGAGCATCTCCTTTCTGTGACCGAGAACCTTTGAGTAATATCACATCTTCACAGATCTTTGTGTGTGCTCTTGTTACGTTCTACATCAGAGGGAAACACCTACCAGTGACGGCGTTGCTATTGACTCCCATGCTGTTCAATTGATCAAACAGGGTGAAAAGAGTGAAGTTGTATCTGGTGCCACATGTGAGGTTTGAGAGTGTGTGATTCACATAGTCTCCTTCCCCTGATGCATTGATGCTTATTGGCTTTCCATTGAAAACCAGTTTATACTGGAGGATGTCGTTCACTTTCTCCCACTGCAGAGTGATACTGGTCTCAGTTTGACCCAGCGTCTTTAACCCTTTAGCGTCACCAGGAGCTAGAATGAAAATAAACATTAATCTGAGTAACTACACAAAGTAGAATCATGTCAAGGTGCTGAGGATTTCCTCCTCTTTTTAGTATTAATGTGGAAGTAGCGCATGTAGCAGTGACATTCATCTCCCCTCCACAGGACTTAAATAAACAACATTTAGGGGGATTAATTGTCAGCAATGGAACTTTATATTCATAACCATGTTTTAAGCACAGCACACATAATTGGCCAATAGACAGAGGAGACGGTGAACGTTCTTCATTGTTAATAAGAAAGTGTTGTATATTTCATTAATGTTGCAGTGAGATGTAACCATAGTGACTATGTTTCTGTACAAATAACTTAATTATTGCTGAGAGCAAAGTTCACCGCCTGCCTGTGGAGGGAGCGGTCAGCAGACGGGTGTTTAATGTGAATGAAATGTCTTGGATTACGGGAAGCAAGACCGGTGGAAAGACATATTGGTACTTAGTGTCATGCATTTACTGTTGCAAGGTGTATTTTATTCAAAAATGATAAATACAGAAATAAAATTTGCATTCGAGAAGCCAAATGCCTGATTCCAGATGTAAGACGACCCACCTGTGACAGCTTCATATGAGAATCCAGTGCTGTTTGCTCCCTCAAACGTGGTGATGATGGTGAAGTTGTATTTCTTCCCAGCAGTCAGAGAAGTGACCACATATTCGACTGATGACCCTCCCGTTGTATCATAGATAGGGACGTCCATGGGAGTCATCGCCTCAGATCGTAGAAAGTATGTTGGGATGCCACCAACCTTCTCCCACTTCAAAGTTATGCTGGTCTCATTTCGAGCCGATACAGTCACATTATTAACATTACCAGGGGCTGAAAAGACAAAGAGTTGACAGTTTAGATTAAAGTAAGTTTGACACTGTGCATTAGACGCCGTGTTTTCACCTCCACACAAGTCTGCATTAAAATACCAGAAAACGCAGATATGTCACCAAGGTAAAAGAGGCTCAGCGGCCTGACACTAACTCTTGTACATTATATGAGGCCATAGTTAATAATAGTCTCAGTTTGTGCAACCGATTTGAAATGTCTTGGATTACGGGAAGTGAGACCGGTGGAAAGAGATATTGGTACTTAGTGTCATGTATTGACTGTTGCAAGGTGTATTTTATCCAAACGATGATAAGTACAGAAATAAAATTTGCATTCGAGAAGCCAAATGCCTGATTCCAGATGTGAGACGACCCACCTGTGACAGCTTCATATGAGAATCCAGTGCTGTTTGCTCCCTCAAACGTGGTGATGATGGTGAAGTTGTATTTCTTCCCAGCAGTCAGAGAAGTGACCACATATTCGACTGATGACCCTCCCGTTGTATCATAGACAGGGACGTCCATGGGAGTCATCGCCTCAGATCGTAGAAAGTATGTTGGGATGCCACCAACCTTCTCCCACTTCAAAGTTATGCTGGTCTCATTTCGAGCCGATACAGTCACATTATTAACATTACCAGGGGCTGAAAAGACAAAGAGTTGACAGTTTAGATTAAAGTAAGTTTAGACGTCATACTTTCACCTCCACACATTAGAATACCAGGAAATGCAGATGTGTCGCCAAGTTAAAAGAGGCTCGGCGGCTGGAAAACGTACGTTTTTTTGTCGTTAGAAGAGGTGTTGTGGCCGTTGTTGTTGTGGCCGTTGGTGTTGTGGGTGTTTTTGTTGTGGGCGTTGTTGTTTGTGTAGCTGTTGTGACCGTGGCCATTGCTTTTGCGGTCATGACCGATGTTTGCACCGCAGCGTTTGAGACCTACAAACAGAACAGGAGAAGTACGGAGAGAAGGCAGAGGCCCCAAAAAATGTGAGTTCATACTGTGCAGTCTGACTATGGACTCCTAATTAGAGAAAGTTAATTCTATTGCATCTATTGTTGTATTTATATTGTATTTGGTATACATTCAAAAATGTTCTGGCAGGAAAGTTAAACATAGATCACAGCTTCGAAGACGTTCTTTTTAGGATTCACACAATTTAAGAAAGACATATGTTAATGCTGTGCAGTTAACTCAAGCAAATGTGTGAGATCCAACAGAAAATTGCGCGCTAGAAATTTAAGCATTTCATACTTCGACCTCTAAATCCCACCTGGGATATACTAACAAAAGAGTTCACAATAATATCGACTTTTACACGACTATCCTGCTTTTGCCTTCTTTTTATTAATAAAAGCAAATCCTGTTCATTAAATATCTACGTATTAGTGCAGAGACGTTACTTATAATAACCTAAATAAACGCTGCATTTTCTTTCATTGTTACGATCTTCAAACATCTGTTATGCTAACAAATATAGACAAAAAGTATTACAAAACAATTTTCCACTACGTCACCTCGTGTAGAATATACAGTAAGCGAGACACCAAGCGTTGGGGGTAGTTTCCTATATGTTTTACATAAGGTCATTTCCTCATTCGTGCTTTTGTTTCGCTGAGGAAGTAAGTGAGAATAATTCATCTTCTGCAAAAAATCCTTCCTTTTGTACTTTTTTGTATTCTTTACGTACTGATGATTACATGACATTACAGGTCATTTAGCTGACGCTTTTATCCAAAGCGACTTGCATTGCATTTTTAACCCATGGCTTTTTCCCATTTTTGCCCGGAGAGAAATTAGAGGTTAGGTGTCTTCCTCATGTTTGCTCAAGACAATTGAGCTGCATTGTCTAAACTTGTATTGTGCACTAAACCATCGCTGTGGTTTTGAAGCTTTTGAGTAGGTCGACTATCTGATCACTGTTGAAGGGGAAAGGTGAAAAAAAAATGACTTACCCAGAGCAGACTGACGGAAACGCACAGCAGAAAGTGTTCTGGGGTGATTTTGAAAGAAAAAGGCTTCATCGCTGTGAACTTCTGTCAAGCGTCACACATTCTATGAACTTTGAAAAATCCCTTTGTATTCTCGAGTGATCCTTTACGTGCCGGCTCTCTGTGCGTCCATGGGTGTGTTGACAGAAACAACAACACTTGAGGCAGCCGAAGAAACAACCTGACGCGTCCAATATTAACTTTATTTTGTTGCCTTTTAATTCTTAACCCCGTCCTCCTTCTGCAACCTCTGCTCCCTTCTCATATTGGCAAGTGGCTAAGTAAATAACTGCTTCTCCTTTTTGGCCTTGTTCAACCACAGAGACCTTTGCCCCGCCTGCTACTTCCTTAATAACGGCCATAATGTGCTACTTGCTACGTCAAAGGCAAGTCAATCAAGTAAATGTACTCCTATTTTGCATCTTTATTGGTGGTAATTGCTTCACATCTGCCGCCGTTTATCATTCCCAGCTTCATGTTTGTGACTGCCTGTTTATCTTTATGATGTGCAAATTAATAAAAAAAAAAACACGGGGCAAAGTTTTCAAATGCTGCTCAATATAAATTACATTTGTATTGTTTTCTATTTGATGTTATTATTTAATGATGTCGCAGTTAAAATGAACGTCTAATCTCTTCGGTTGGGCTGGTTTCAGAGAACAGTAAATGTGGTTCTTCTCGGAGGGGAGTGGTATTTATAGCTTCTCTGTGGTTTACGTATATAAGGAACTGCGAACAAAAACCATCACTGTTTTAAAAGACCAAAGTGATGTCGGTGTTTATGGTTCAGCTGACACGCTCGATAAAAGCACAGCTGTGTCGAAGAAAACGCTGTTCAATGTTGTCCATTGGGGAAACATGAGGAGGAAGTAACCTTATTACATAATTATATTGATTTTTTCCATCTTTTAGATACAATCTCACACTATGATTTATTCACAGCGATGATAAGCTTCTCTGTTATATTGAGCTTAACCATTACTTTTATTAAAAGCCTTTTCATTCACTCGTGTTATATTTAGCTGCTGTTTGCATGATCATTTGCTTTTTCATGCAATTTTAAGATCTGCATTTGTTACGAACAAACGACCCTCCTTTTCAACACACGGCTCAGGTGAACGTCGTGTTCTCCTTTGACTCACACGGTAACCGTACGTGAGGCCATTGGGTTTTGGTTTGCTCCCGTTTGGCCCAAGTGGCCATATTCTGATCAGAATTGCAGCGTGCACAAGCCGCGCTTCCTCTTATCAACCTCCTCCAGCACATCCACTGACTTCCCATCCGCTGTGAGGCTCACTTTAAAGGCAACCTGCAGCTTACATACGCGCATCTTTTGATAGTCGTAATGAGTGGATGTTGCTCGCTTGACAAACAAGGTCTGTTTATCTCCTCTCTCATGCTTCCTTTTTTTAACGGCTCATTCTGCATCCCTTTTTTTTCTCCTCAGCATCACTTGTGTAAAAATATGTCTGTATCATGGTTCAGTGGATGAGGATTATTTTTACTTAAAATCATTATACCAATTACATGACACGGGGTTGTTTTGTTTAGGCCGTGTTAGGATTGACCACCCTGACACGCTCCTTCTGTCTGAAGTCTGGTGTAATTCGTCTCCAACACGAGAGGAGGCGGTAGAGTCGCACAATTAACCGCTTCATGCCAAACGGCATAAAAACAGCTGAGATAGCGCCACATTCCAGGCGAAGCAGGGCAGCGTTCACCCACGACACACGGTAAGTGGAAACAAAAACACTGTAAACTACTAGTTCTACTGCTTGATGCTAACGTTAGCCAATGTTAGCTAACGTTAGCCAATGTTAGCTAACGTTAGCCAATGTTAGCTAACGTTAGCCAATGTTAGCTAACGTTAGCCAATGTTAGCTAACGTTAGCCAATGTTAGCTAACGTTAGCCAATGTTAGCTAACGTTAGCCAATGTTAGCTAACGTTAGCCAATGTTAGCTAACGTTAGCCAATGTTAGCTAACGTTAGCCAATGTTAGCTAACGTTAGCCAATGTTAGCTAACGTTAGCCAATGTTTGCTAAACATTAGCCACCAGCGCTAACTTGTGTAAGCTACCCGCGGTAGCATCATTAGCTAACGTAACTTCTTCAATAAATGAACTAAAGTCGAGGCCTTGAGGGAAATGCAGCGCTATCTATACGTTCTTTGACGGATGCACAGCTAACGTACGGTCCGATACGTCGGTGGGAACGTCCCAGTACCCGACTGGAGACTCTTTTTCACTACAATACCACGTGACGAAAGGCTGGTTGGTGTTTAACTGAAGCCGATAAACGCCGGTTGCATGAAGTCTGTGGCATAAAAAGACGCGCAGAACTTCGATAATCTTCCTTCAACAGGCGGGTGACTCGTGTGTCAGTCGCGATAACGTTGACGTTGGTGTGGGAGGATAAAGGAAAGACTTGTTTCTTTGTCTTCTGGGGAGGATTTAAGTAAGCGCATTGACGTGGTCATACCAGGGAGCGAGCAACTTTAACATTACTCTTTTGATTAAATATTTTTGTCTTTTTAGAAATGCAGTCCGCCATAAAACAAAACTTCCATTTGGAGACCGAAGGAGACTTGAACAAACTCATCAACCTGAAGCTCAATGCATCCTACGCACATCTTTCTCTGGTATGTTTTGTTAATGAATAGTCGTATTTATCATGTTGCTCTAAAATGTACCTGTGAATGTCCCCTTGCTGGGTGTCTTTGTCTACACTTAAATCTATAGTGACACGGCTCCTCTCTTCCAGGGGATGTATTTTGACAGGGATGATGTTGCTCTGCCACAATTCTCCTCTTTTTTCCTGGAGCTTTCTGGGAAAGAGAGACAACAGGCCGAGAAGCTGCTGGAGTATCAGAACTTGAGAGGAGGTCGAATTTTGCTTCAGACCATTGCTGTAAGTCCAGTTTTGTATTTTTAATTTTATTTTTTAAAAGTCTTTTTCAACCCTGCGGTTCCGATTGATTGATCTATTTCTCCAAATATGAAACTCTGTTCTAGAAACCAAGTAGACAGGACTGGACCGGTGGTTTGGATGCAATGTCCTTCTCCCTGGACTACCAGAAGTCCCTCAACACATGCGTGCTTGATCTGCACCGCAGAGCCAGCACTCACACGGACTCTCATGTAAGTCTGTTTAGCAGACATATTGAATATGGAACAAAAACTTGCTTCTGTTGCAAATTGGCAAATTTAGAAATCCCTTTGTTGCTTTAGTTCAATGTGAATCAGGCTAAAATCTGTAAAAATTTAAGGATTGTGTAATACAAGCCAGTTTCAATTTCACACCTTTCTCAACATTGCTTTTATCTTACTGTGGTTTTTTTTGTCTTCCTCGTTTTGTAGCTGTGTGACTTCCTGGAGCAGCACTTCCTCGCTGACAGCCATGACACCATTAAGAAGCTGGGCGACTACATCGGCAGCCTGACTCGGATCAGTGTGTCCGAGACGCACGCCGCTATGGGAGAATACCTCTTTGATAAACACACTCTGTGAAGGTCACTACAGCGCGCACACACACACAAAAATAAGCTTTCAAAAGATTCAATAGTGTCATTGGAATAACTGCCTGACACTGTTTTTCTACTCCGTTAAAAAAAAACAATTTATCGTCAAAACTTACTACAAACTTTATTCTTGTACTACGCCACGAGATGAGTTCCAAGGAAAATGACAAAATACCTCAATTATTCCATTAAAACCACACAGAAAATGGTGCTTTAATATTGTCCCAAAAACGGCAATTCTCATCTGTCATGTCACTTTGTCTCATGCATTCCACTGTGTCCGATGTTGTAACCTTCACAAATGTTGGGTAACAACGCATGCTATTTTGAGTCGAAGAGATTATTTGGAATACAATTTAAAGTTTCAATAAAGCTTAACTATGCTGATTTGTTGTGTGTTACAATCTGTTTGTCTTAACGCCGCTTGACCTGCAGTGTAGACTTTCTGTCTATACTGTCTTTGTCTGTAGAACGCTGTAAAGCTAATGGTGGGTTTTGTGCGTAGTCACTGTTTGGTGGGCGCTTAGTGTTGAGCATCAGGCTGACGGCGTGTGGTTGACATCGACCGCTGCTTCTTGGTAAATGACACGATTCAGCAAAGATAAGAATCAGTTGTCAACAAAGTGGCCTGCGGTGAGACAAAGTACTGTTTGTGTTGCAAACTAGAGAACTATGAAAAGGGATACAAATAATGAACAGTAATGCGGGAAAAGGGAACCACATTTGGATCAACTTATTTTTTTTCTTTATGACTAAGGAGCATTGTTTAATCACAATGTTTTGTACTATTGCGGCACATTCCCTCATTGTGTAAAAGGTCTTTGACACAATGGCAATACTTGACTTGCTGCTCATTTGGTTTCCCGCTGCATGTTAGTGATCTAATCTGAGGCTGTTGCACGTTGGATTGGAGCCACTGCGATCTCCAGATGTAGCCGTGTGAAGTAATGGCGGCGTGCCCGGGGATTACTGTTTGCTCCACATCCGCGTGTGTTTTGCACCGTTAAATGTTAATCCACGGCACCCCCCCCCCCCCCCCACACACACGCACTCACTGACACTTGTTGGTAGTTTGACGATTGCCTGCAAGTGAGTCTCTGCAGAGCGGATTAGTGACGACTCGGATGCACCGCGGTCTCTTCAATCCAGTAGATAAACACAACCACTTTTTATCTGCCACTTCCATCCTCGACGAGGGAAGCCTTCATTTGTTCCTTGTGTGTGAAATCTTTAAAAGAGAATTTGCGTGTATCAAAACGTTCTCCTGCCGTTGCTCTTTATGATTTTTCATTTTTTGTCCCGAGACGTAGCAACAGACGTGTTGTGGGCATTCTAACATCGGGGGGGAGGGGTCGCGAGGGGGGATTAAATCCCAACGCTGCTCTAGCGATTTGACAGTGCTTTGATGGAAAGGGTTTGCAGGGAGCCTGCCAGCAGTCAGCGGCGCACCAAAGGAACGATGGGCGCGTGAGGGCTCCAACGGGCCGAGGCAACAAGACAAACACTTTGACGCAAAAGTTGCTCCAGAAGCTCTGTGGGAATAGAGGGAAGCAAAGGGACCCATCAGCAGGTGAGATGAATATGCATACGGTTTTTCTTCTATAATATCACATTTGGATTAGAACTAACCCACATGAATGCGTAGTGCATCTTGTGTAAAGTATTTACCTGTTGTGTCCATCACCCCCAGATAAGCGTCGTAGAGATGCCTACACGTATGAATAGATAACATGCTTTACATTTCAGACAGTATTTCTGCAAACAGAAAAAGGTTAAAATTGCATCTGAGATTTTGTACATTATATTCTGATCTGTTATATTTCACATTCTAATTATTGTTTTTTACATGTAGGCAAATAAATATGAATGAAAACTAGATATCCCAACAATATCTGCCCTTGTACACCCTTTGAAAATTGAACGCGGAGACCAACCCTTGTTTATTTCAGCTTTGAGGAGGGATTTAGGATTAATACTGTAGTGCCACAGTTTAATCCAGTTGCATGCATAGGCAGTGATGACATAAAAATGGAGACTGGGGCAACCGGTGGGAGAGGCGACGTGGAGGGATTTGGGTCGGGCCATGATGAGCATCTGGCTTAAAGACGTCCGGTGCTCTGGACCCGCAGAGCAGCGCGTGGACGTCGGGATATCACGGGGCGCGCACACACACACACACGCGTAGCTGCGTTATCTCTCGCTGCGGGAGCCAACGCGACACATAATCCCAACGCGCCAACAATAACCGCACCGATTCTACTGTTCCCGACAGCTGCCATGAGGTTGGCAGGGGCCCGGAGCCGGAGGGCCGCGGAGCCGGAGGAACCGGAGCCGGAGGAGGTCACCGAGGCCGCACGCCACGAGCACGCGGAACGCCACGAGCACGAGCACGCGGAACGCCACGAGCACACGGAACGCCACGAGCATGAGCACGAGCACGCGGAGCATCACCCCGGCCACGACTACAAGCACATGAAGGAGAAGTTTGCGAATGAGCTCGGCCACCTGCCAAGTACGCCGCTTCTACGAATCCAGTATCACAAATTGATTTTCTAGAAATGTGCTGTACTTTCTTTACATGCTTTTGGAGAAGATGCAGAATCGAAATAACGATTTATCCAGAAGCTTTTTTTAAAGGTTTGAGTATTTTGACATTCTTCATATAACTAATAATATGAAGGAATTTAAGCTTGTTTTCTCGGTCATTATCTCCGGTGTTTGTGACCTGCGTAGCGACACAAACCAAAGTGGGAGAAATGTTTCTCCTTTAATTAACAGGTACTGCTGCGGTGCTCTGAGTAAGTCGCCTCATGACGAACCGCGCCGCTGGGGAGTGTGTTGGTCGAGGGCCACTCCCGGCTTACAGCGTGTGATTATCTGATAGTGGAGACGGGTGTTGCTGACACCGCACGTCCCGGCTCATCTAACTGCCCCCACACAAACAAGCGCCTGAAAACATTTTTCAAAAGCTCAAAAGATACGCTGGAAAGATACGCTCCAAAACATTCATGTATCTGTGTCTGTGTCTGTGTGTGTTTTGACAACTAACTGGAACCTGGTTTATCAGAGTGCATTTTTACTTTGACCTAATCTCAAGATGTGAAATGTAAATCCTCTTGATGCATGCGGCTTGCACAAAGCCTCGGATGAAGAAGCTGGTGTTCAAACGCCCGCACTGTTTCAGATTCAGTTTTTTTGTTTGTTTTATTGGGGTTTTGTTGTCTGTTTTTTTCTGGGGCGGTAAGCATTTTCCCATCTCGCATTCAGTGAATAGCGATGAGTGAATTGCCCTTTTTTTCTGTTTTCTAACAGTTCCCGGGTGGGCAATAGCAGCCATCGTGGTGGTCGTCCTGGTTTTGGTGGCGTGCTGCGTCTTCTGTCTTTTCAAGAAGTGCTTCGCGAAAAAGAAGAAGCCAAAGAAAGTGAGGGAGAGGAAGACTGGCCGCCGCAAAAAGGAAAAGGAAGGCGAAGGGGAGGGTGGAGAGAAGGCACGTGATCTCCAGTAACACGTTGTTGTTTTTACTCTGACCCGATCGACACCTCCTTGATGAATGTCCCGTGGACCTGTGCTTTAATATGGCAGGAGGGAGATGTGAAGAAGCCCGGAGACGAAGAGGAGAAAGAACAGGAAAAGTTGGGAAGACTGGAGTTCTCACTGGACTACAACTTCACGGATGCCCAGGTAGATGCTGTGTGAAAACCAAACCCTCACCATTCACAATGAGACATTCACATTAATGTCTCCATGGCCGCTGATCGTTCTGTTTTCATTCCGTTCCAAGCTTATAGTGGGCATCCTGCAGGCTCAGGACCTCGCTGCTATGGACATGGGGGGGACCTCGGACCCTTACGTCAAAGTCTATTTGCTGCCGGACAAAAAGAAGAAGTACGAGACCAAAGTTCAACGCAAGAACTTATGTCCCGTCTTCAACGAGACCTTCATCTTTAAGGTGCCACGCGCCCGGCTGGATGCTGCCTGTGTTTCTGTTTGCTCTTTCTCGGGTCTCCGTGGTTCTAACGTTGCATCGAACTCTCTTTCCCAGATCCCGTATGCAGAGTTGGGCGGAAAGACTTTGATGCTGGAAGTTTTTGACTTTGACCGCTTCTCCAAGCACGACATGATCGGCGAGATCAAGATTCCCATGAACAGCGTTGATTTGGGTCAGCCGCTGCAACAATGGAGGGACGTGGAGAGCGGTGAAAAGGAGGAGGTGAGATACGTTATTATCGCTGACATGTTGTGTGGATTTCTATTTACCGAATAATACACTTTATGCTTTGCTGCTGGTGATTAACGATCACAATAATAAGCAGTTTAATAAAATATGGTGATGCTGCGTGATGGTAATCCATTATGCTTTCCTTTCAGCAAGAGAAACTGGGGGATATCTGCATTTCTTTAAGATATGTGCCCACTGCTGGAAAGCTGACAGTCAACATCATGGAGGCGAAGAACCTGAAGAAAATGGATGTCGGTGGTTTATCGGGTAATTCTTGCTCCTGCCGTTATTATCGTTGGGAGTCATTTAAACATTTGCTTAGTTCTTATAACCCAGAAAACCACAACTGCATCCCCTCTCCTCCTGTTTAAGATCCGTATGTGAAGATTATTCTGCAGCAAAATGGCAAACGGATCAAGAAGAAAAAGACGACGGTGAAGAAAAACACGCTGAATCCTTACTTCAACGAGAGTTTCAGCTTCGAAGTCCCCTTTGAGCAAATACAGGTAGGCTGTGCCGTCATGCCATCATCGACTCAACCCGTACACTCGATGATGGCAATGATTTCATGCCTTCTTTTCTCTTTGGTCTTTCAGAAAGTGCAGGTCGTCATCACAGTGTTGGACTATGACAAACTCGGGAGCAACGACCCCATTGGAAAGACCTTCATGGGTTACGGAGCTACGGGAGTCGGCCTGCGCCACTGGTCAGAGATGTTATCCAATCCCAGACGTCCAGTCGCCCAGTGGCACACGCTGCTGCCGGAAGAAGAAGTCGAGGCGGCGCTCAAAGCAAAACCTCGTTAGAGGCACACGATGTCAGTCACAATGTTTTACTCATCCTAATACTCCCGATGTGTTCTCAAGCTGCGTGGCCTGTTTTTCCATTTTGTTTCTTTTAAGGTACTTTAATGTGCGTGCGAGTGCGCGTGATGTACAGACAAAATGTTGTTACTCAGCTCCCATTATGTGACTGAACCAATATTACAATATTGTATTTTTTTCTGTCTGTAAAACACACATATGTGAATGTGCATGTTTTGTGTATGCTCATGCATGAGCCTATTAAATCTTTATTAAATCTAATAATCTTTGTTCTAAAGTTACACTTTGGAGACATGGTATAGCTTCTGCATCTCATGTCATGCACGCTCCTTTTTATAGCGCCAGTCCTTAAACACACTTGTAATACCGCACCGATGGATAATATATCAAATGCAAATGGACCATTTCACAATAATACATATCTTACTCTCTTACCTTTAATTAGATAAATATACTGTTAGATATCATTGGTCTAAACTTTAGACCAATACATGTTGCATAGTCCAAGCACGACATCCGGTCCTCCACCGCCGGTAGATGACGTCAGTCCACTGAGAGACTGTTGCTTAGCAACGGAACTCAAACGGTCGCCTCCAACTTTATTGACAAGTCAGACTGCGAGGTGAGTTTTTCCCTTTTGCTTTAGTTTGTTTATCATAAACGGGGTCTGTGCCCTCTTATAACAACTTAATTGATACGGTAACTTATTTTGGCCTAACGTCACTGTTTAGCCGTGGTGCTAGTTAGCTAACTTCGCTAACATTAACTCGCCAGTTGGCGGTCGTGCTAAGCTAATTTGTCTCCCAGTAGCACTGCGCTATACTGGCGCGGTGTATAAACGTGCTTCGTCTCTGCACCGGTGACACCGCAGGATATGAGTGCTGGACGGGCACCCGAGGGTGCTGGCTGCATCACCTGGTGGGGGTTCAGTCCGGCGCGCGACCTGCTGAGCACAGGTGAGAGCCTCAGGTGCACGCGGGTGCGTTGTTCACCGAACAAAATGCCCAAACGTTCAAAGTCTCTGTCTGTCTCTCTGTCTCTGAGGCCCCGTGAGGCCTGAAGGGGACATCAACGTGTTACTGGTTGGCAGCGGAGATCCACGACATATTTTGAAGACCATTTCTGGTTTGCAGAACCACGAAAACCTTCATGTGAGCCCCCCCCCAAGTTGCTTAAAACACCCCCCCCAATAAAAGCGTTTATACTCCACTATGAGCAGAACACTTCTCCTCTGCTCTGCTGCAGGTGTGGGTGATAGAAGACAGCATGGAGGTGGTGGCGCGGCAGCTGCTGCTCCTCTACCTGGCACTGATGCCAAAGGAAAGCATGGGAAATAATGGTGGGCGGGTTTTGTTGAGGTATTGGCCTTACAGATGTTTGATTCATGGGTCCTAAATATGAAATGGTTTTGGCGCGATCTTTGTTTGCAGAGAAGGCCGAGGTTTTCTTGGAGGTGTTTGGGAACGGTGAGATCCGCAGTCACACTGAAGAGAGACTGAGACGCGCGGCATCGCAGCTCACCGTGTCTGTCGCCGAGTCTCTGGAGACGGCGACCCACCCGGCGCTGAACACGGCTCTCCTCAAGGTACAAACGTCTGCAAAACTGAGCCTATCCATTGTCCTTCTCTTTACCTCGTGGTCCGTATTTCTTTGTGGAATCAGACGCTGAGGCCTGCTCGGTCAAACCCGTGTGAAAGCTTTGTATTCTTTGAACAATCAGTTCAAGGAGCGAGATGAGCTGGCCAGGATATTCCAGATGTGGACCCGGCCTCGGCCTTCGTCGTCCTCATCTGAGTGCGCTGTCCCCGTCTCGATGTCCAAAGCCTGGGATTATCGGGTCAGGCAGCACCTCGGAACGCGCTACGACTCCAAGAAGAACTGCTTTGACTGGGACCTCTCCATGAAACTATACGAGAAAGGGGTAACTTTATATTGTGTGAACCTTTTCTGTTTGTTGATTGAAATGCGTTTTAGAAAGTTTGACATTTGGATGCTTAAATGTTTCACTAAACAACGGACCTTCTTTCTGTTTCCGCAGTGCGGCGTCATCAGCAAACAACAATATGCACGATGGAGGGAACAGGGTTTGGCGTTCGAAATGAGGGAAGGTGTCTACCAAATAAGCAATCCGAGTTTGCTCTCGTCCAGAGTGTTCCGTCAAGTGAGTTTTTTCTGCACAATGTTTCTCCACAATGCAGCAAGAAGACGACGTAAAGGAACTTTCTTGTTATCTGGACAGAAAGGGGGGAAAGTGTCTTACAGGGGCTACTGGGGGGACATTGTTTCCAGTCCTTATCTCTCCTTCGGGATTGAAACCGATGACAAGAACCTGCTCAGGACACAGAATGGGCAACACATCTCGGTAAAATATCCAGTAGCAATAACACAGATTACATGTTAGATTACAGCAATGTCTCCAGAGTGAGTTGTGAATACGCTCAGGAACATGCTCATGGTTTCTGTCCTTTTCCTTCACTCACATCCACAGACGGCCCAGGATATCTCTGTTGCAAATGTGCAAGAATTGTTCCAGTCCCTGTCCAGAAGACGGGGCCGCTCCATCACCTCTCAGTCGGAGGTAAAGGCGGAGGAGGCGTCTCCTGAGGCTGATCTGAAATCTGTCCCCGTTCACGGTAAAATGCTGTTAACACTAACTACCAGATGTTTGTCACTGCAGGTTTGAATAACTTGCTTTTGAGAATCTTTGAATGTCATTATGTTGCATTCAGCTTGGTTTCAGTGTGTTTAATTCCAGCGTTTGGTCGATTGCTTCCCAGTCCAGCAGATGGAAAAAGGGTATCTGTGTATGAAACTTGCGTATCTCTCAAACCGTCTCCAGACTTGATGCAGCCGGATGGGATCTCTGTGACATTCCTCCCGTTGGACTCACTTTACAAACTGCCAGAAAAACAGAAATATTCCCACTTCTTTAACACCATCTACTTCTCTGCCAGGTGAGAGCTTTCCGTCTGGAATTCCCAAATAGATAATTGGTCTGAATAGATAATCATTACGGACCGTCTTGACTGCAGACCCCTAACCACGTACAATGTCTGTGTTTTCGTTTGCATCCCTGTCAACGCTCTTAAAGCTGCGTGCACCTGCTGGGCCCGACGATTCGGCAGATTGCAGCACCAGACGCCGTGCTGGTCGTGGAGCTGGCAAAGTGAGGGTTTTCATGTTTTGTTACCATGGTGACAAGAGTAGAGTGTCTGTGCTCTTTTAGCCACAAGAGCACGTGCTTTGCTTTACGTGATTCCTTTGTGTTCGCTACACAACGGCATCTGTAAATTCAAAAAGGGAGCGATAATTGTAGCGCTGCCGTCATATTTACGTTGCATTTTGTGTGTTCATTGTGAAACAGGTACATTTTGGATCTGACTAAGGAGCAAGCAGCAGGCTTTGCAGAGAAAGTGGTGAGCACGGCTCTGCAGGCCGAATTTGAGCCGTGGCGTGACGGGAAGAGTGACGACGTCCATGCTGTTTTCATACCACAGAGGAAGTAAAGGTGGTGCATTTATTCTGCTCCCCTTGTCAGCAGCTTTACCTTCAACATATGCAACAGTCAAGGTGATATTGCTTCACATCAGAGTCACTTTTCAGGATCTTATGCAGACAGAATTTATTTTTCCTCCATAAGGAAGTTTACCAGCCACAGAAATCTTTCTTCTTTTTCTTTTTTTGTCACTGTGAACTTTCTAGTGTTTGGATTTTATAACAATAAATAAAGAAATTTAATTTAGAATTTGAATGACACTGCAAGAAAAATATCCATTTTATGTATTTCAACAAATACAGATGCAATTGCCATGGATGTATTGTAATAAATGCCACACAAAAATCTCCAATCTTGTCCAGAAAACTAGTTCCCCGTCTTCGTTGTGCGTCCTGTGTGCGCTCACTTCCAGCGTCCACCGACCTTCCCCTTACCGTTGACCTTTTTGCTACATCGAGACAAGAAAAAGAGGACAATTGATTATGAACAGTAGTTTTCAGCACAGAAATGACCAGCGAGTGTGACTCATTGGAAACGTTTAGCACTAATTTCATATCTTAGACGTGTGCGTCCTGTGAATTAAGTGGCGAATGTTGCGAGCTGTGAGTTTGTCCTTTCCAGCGTTGTGACTGTTGCCGTCCGTCCGTGGACCATTTGCATAGTCGATGCAAAGCACAGCACAAGATGCTCTCATTTGAGTGTGAAGGTCGTGTCGTGGTAAATTGGGACGAGCAGCGTGACTCACAATTTCTGAGCATGTTGGATTCTGTTCAGGAGGACGTTGATCTGTAAAAGACAGAAAATAACTCTATGTATATTTAAAATACCACGTTTTGTAAGCTCCCGACTCGCCGGCTCACCTCATACTTCTGCCTCTTTGTCTTTTCGGTCAGCTCAAACTTCTCTGACTCCAGCTGGTAGATACATTGCCACATCTCCACGGCTCGCTCTCTAAATCACACCGGCATCAACAAGTTGAATAAAAGGTCAATTTGTCCTTTTTCTGCCATTAGAATTAGAGCCTTTCGTGAACGTGGAACTGACCTCAGGCCATCCTCTCTCAGGCTCTCGATGCCAAGTGGCTTGCGTCTCTCTGCCAGAGTCGTCTTCTTGATTTCCCTGGCGGTTTGCTTTTTGCCTCGCCTCTGCTCTGCCTGCAGGACACCAACACAACTCACTTTCCTGGAGGCTCCGACGGACACGAGCTCCGACTCGACGTTCTGGCCGATGTGCTATTCTGACCTTGGCCAGGAAGCCTCCGAAGTGAGCTCCCATGTTGGAGAGCACTTTCTTCTTCTTGGCATCCTCCTCGGCCCTCTTCTTTGCCTCTTCGTCCTCTTTCCTCTGTCTCTCCTCCTGACGAAGTCGGGTCGAAACATTGTGATCCGAGCGCGCGTTTTGGCGACATACATGTGATACAAGGCGTTAATTACTGCGATCCGGGTCTGTCTGTCCCGCTCTTTTTCAGCCCTCACGCGCTGCTGCTCGGCTCTTTCTGCCCGGCGGTTTTCCTGTTACAGAAAAAACACGTTTCAAGTTTTCATCGCCATCTCTTTGTGGTACAAGTACACGGGTAACTGATGGACAGTTACAATCCTGTATTTGAGTCCGATCAGCTCCTCTTCCTCTCTCTGCCTCTGCTCAAAGTGGACGTCAATCAGAGTCTGCAGCTCCAGGAGGTCTTTCTCCATCCTCTTCCTGTGGATATCCTGTCGAGGACCAGTGGACACCGAGATCAATATTATTGAATCTCTGTTTCTGGGGCAATAATCGTGTAGATGTTCTATTAACAACAACCTTGAAGGAACACACATCAAAGTCCACCCTCTCCCCCTCAGGGATTTTAGGGGCAGCGAGCTGTGTGAGCGGCCTGTGAAATAACACGACGGCGTATTCAACTTATTCATTTTGTGGTAAATTCCGACAATGTGTTTTAGTATTTCCACGTCCATCTTACTTATATTTGGGCCGTTCTTCTTCAACACAACAGCCGCAACAGCAACAAAAAAGGGAATCGGTTGTTTGGTTTTGAAAACAGCAGATTGACTTGACAACACAGCAGATTAATTCATTAATTCATTAATTCATCCTGAGAGGAAAACAATTGAGTTTCAAACACAGTTCGTGGACGCTGATCACACAATCATACTGGAAGTGTTAAAGTTTCCTGTTAAATTTGAATTGAAGCTTAATGCTCCTGAGACCATTTGCAACCACAGGATGGATTGCGAGATGCAAATACACATGTTTACATCTTGTCTCCTGTGGGACACTTTCCCTGACAGGCGGCTGTAAGAACTTGGACCTGAACGTGCCGACGATTAAATGAACACAGCTCGGCATCATCGCCTCACCTCCCTCCCCCTGGTCCTCATCTTCCTCTGGAGAAAGGAAGACGATGGCGATTGAGTTGAAACAATGACAATTTGTTTGTATTGAATGATTGAGTGAATGTCCTCACCTTCTTGACGGCGTCTGAATAAATAACAATTGAACGAATAGATCAGACATGCCAGAAAATAAAAGCTTATGCACTACGAATGTAGAAAAGTTTATAAATTGACTCACCCGTGATCTCCAAACTCAGACATGACGACGCTAGATACATACATTTCAAGATATGAGACAATGAATTTCATTATCAATGCAGGCCAAAGAAAAAGCTGAAGCAGAACATTTGTAGATAATGATCTAGGAATAGAAGAGTTAGGAGCGGTGTCCTGTTACCCGGGATAACAGTGAGGTATTAGCCGGCCAATCTCCAAAAGAGAATGTGGGACGGGGAGATTAAGCTGGCCGGCTGCTGCGAACACCAAGTCCTCTATTATCATTTGGTCCTTTTGCATTCTCACTGCGTGTCTAAATGTGGGCGGAGTCCGATGATATTTCATGGATCCAGGCCGTTACACAAGACTCCTTCGCTCGAATTTCAGTGGGTTAAATAATTATAGAAGTGCAAAGTTCCAAGTCAAAACCGTCGGTTTTGTGACAGACACACTGGCAAAAGTCTATTTTCCCCCAAAACTATTTTCAATCAACATCTGGACGCCCAGACGAGCGGCCTTTGAGAGCTTTAACATGGCGGATCGATCCCTGAGGCCCCCCCCTTGTCTCCTAGAACCTGTCATCCTTTGTTTTTAGCCAAGACACCAGGACCCGAGCATGAAGCTCTCAATCCCACATCACCGTCACACGACGGAATTCTATTCTAATTTAGTTGAAATCCCTAATTTTCCAAAGATGACAAATATTGATTTATGTTTGTCACTTCATGTCAACATGATATAGCTTCAAACAAGCAGATGCTGTATTCTTTGTCTGACATTGTATAATAAAACCTGAGCCCGCTTCAAAGCATTTCATTTAGTCCGTTATTATTTGCTTCTTACGGAGGGTTTTAAGTTGCTAAAAGTAGCTTCATGCCATTAGATCAAAACATTAAAAGAACAAGCCAGATAATCATGACAATACGCTGAAAGGCAACGGAAAACCGCTGTCAATCTACGAGGAGCTTCATAACTCTTCGGTTCATTTCTCTAAATTCTGATCAAATGACTCACCGTCATAAAAAAACATTGATTACCGCGAAGTCAACGAGGTGTATTACTTTGTAGTATTTGCATGACTACGTATAAAGTAGCAGATAAAGAGGAAGAGGGAAAGCACACGGGCCTACCTGAACGGCTGTGATGATGGAAACAAGGGGAGTCACGGCTCGAGAGCACACACAGCTTTATATAAGGGGTCGTCTGGGGTCACGGAGACGAGACTTCAAAGCTGATCAAATGTGTGTGTGTGTCAGAGGCAAGATTTAGAAAAGACGGGCAGGGGACTGAATGTGGATTATTAGCGGCTTTTGTGAGCATCTGCTGGAATAATGAACGACTGGTTTGTTGATGACATCACAGCTGAAGCGAGACACAGAAAGACAGGTGGCAGAAAGTAGACACAGACGATCCAGTTTGGTGTTGGGACACATTGAGATCCCGTCCCTGTGTTCTTCTTCTTCCTTTTCATGATGCTCTTTATCTTTGAATAAACCTTATGCTGCCACTTCAGAGTGTGACGCTGTTTATCTGTGTGTCCATGTGGGGACATGAAAGGAAACAAGAGCAGGTCGTGCACACGACGTTATAGAGTACATTAGATATAGTCAAAAGCAAACAGCATTTCCATATAGACAAATAGGAAAAGCTCTTACACCTACAACACATAAGAGGAAATAAGACGCCCTGCAGAAGTGCACTTCATCAACTACTAAGAAACACCTGCACATCAGGTAAGAACACTAGTTGGTATATTTGGTTTTCAGGTAGTTTTATTATTTCAACCAGCTAACATCCATTTGTGCAATGTGCAATAACCACCCTGCGTGTACATAAACATTTATTTATTTGCTACATTTAGTTACTGTGTTTTTTGTTTTTTTTTGTCTGTTATTAATATATTTTACTTATTTCTGCTGCTCTTGTCTCCATGTTGTGTTTTTTACCATGTATCTTGTGTGTACTGTCCACTTTGCCGCCGCGATCCTGTAAATTTCCCCATTGTGGGACTAATATATGGAATATCTTATCTTATCTTATCTTAGACATGAACGTTCATTTGAGTTGTGCAACAACTCGTGTAACTTTCAGATCCTAGAAGAAACAATGCTCCGCCTGGTGATTTTACTGCTCGCAAGTAAGTGTCTTTGTTTAAAATGCTAAAATTAAAATAGACAATGTCATAACGGCTGCTTTATTTAGTGTTTGGTGGGCTGTTGGTCTGCAGGTTGCGTCTGTTCACGCGTCTACAGAGAGTATCACCTGATAGACATTCCTAAGTCTTGGGACGAGGCCCAGGCTTACTGCAGAGAGAACAACATGCATCTCGCCACCATCGGCAACAGGGACGACCTGGAGATGCTTTTGAAGATGACCGAAGCCATCGGATGGAATAAAATCACATGGATTGGACTGAAAAGGGGCACCGAGTTCTCCTGGAAGTGGTCCGTAGGAGAGCCTGAGAACAGGGCTTTGTACACTAACTGGGCCGCTGCAGCAGGTTCGGGTTCCTGTGGAAGCATGGCGGTTGATGGGAAATGGCTCGCAGACACCTGTGACTCAAAACTGGGGTTTATCTGTAAGGAAGGTAAAATGTTTTTAATTTGACAAGTTTTAGATAGTGATGTCGCTCATCCTCCTTATCCTCAGCTGCATGACCTCAGTGTATTGATAAGAGATGCATCATTTAGCATAGAGGCTGTAACCAGGGAGACAGTTAGTCTAGCTCTGTCTAAAGGTGAAGAAGTCCACCTACTTGCTGTATCTGTTTCCTTTATTCACTTGAATACAGCAGCCAATAAATGTTCAGCCAGTTTCCAGTCAACATGCTTATATAGATTATATGCTAAGAAAAACTCACCATTTTATACCGTTTCATATGCCAATAGAGCGCCATAAACGCTACACAAAGTTCATTAAATGGAGGAAATGTATTATTTCTTTGACAAGAGGAGAATTAGAACAAGTAATGCAATTCATCATTTGAAAGCCACGGTGGTGAAGCATTAATCTCACCTTGGAGTTGCTTGAGTCTTTCAATATTCCTTCTCTCTTCAAACCTTTTTACCTCTCCGTCACATTTTTTGCAGATCTAGATAAGGGCATCGGTATGTTAGTAGTTTCCACAGAGATGTCCTGGAGGGAAGCCCGGGAGCACTGCATGCAGAGAGGCACTGACTTGGCCATCGTGAGGAACCAGATTCAAAACCAGGGCTTACGGAGCATGTTTAATGCAAGCAAAGCTTTCTGGATGGGTTTGTTCAGAGACGAGTGGCAATGGTCGGACCGGAGCGACAGTTCTTTCCGATACTGGTACATCACTCAGCCAAATGGCGATGGCTCATGTGGATCGTTTTCCAAGTCGAAGATATGGGATGACAGATTTTGTAGGAACCGCTATCCCTTTGTCTGTCATACCGGTGAGCATCCAATGCCTGTTGCAGTCTGATTCACTCAAGTAAAGCTTTTTTTCTATTAACGTCATCCTCAACATGATTTATTTGACAAAACAAACAAAAGTGTGTAATATTACTTTCTTTAGAAAAAGAAGTAAGAAAACAGACCATTGTGAAGGTGGAAATAAAGTCAAATTCACTAAACTTTAATGACCTGGCTGTGAGTGAAGCCATTTTGAACCAAGTAAGTGTTTGTTCTAAACCACCTGCTGCATCAAACATGAGATCATAACAGTTACATAATGACTAGATGACTTGATTAAAGGTCTGTTCTTCCTTTTTGCCTCCATAGATCCAACAGAAGTACGGCATGGTGAAGCTTCAGTGGAGAATCCAGCCGGACGGGAAGATTTTCCATAAAAAAGAAAAGGAGGAAGTCAAAGAAACCTGTTCGAACGACGTAAAGTTGACATTATGAAATGATCTGCAGTGCCAAACAAGACTTGACAATTACTCCTGAAAATATGCAAGGACACCTCAAGTATGACGATTAAAAATACAGTAATATCATGAGAAGTTCAACCAAAATTAGCTATTGTGTCTGACCGTACACATCACACCCATTTAAAATAATGCTCGTTATAAAAGTCGCTAACCTTTAATACCCTGCAGTTAGGATACACATCGACACGTATGTGAGAAGCATTATATATATTTAATTATTTAGGTTAAAGTTATAGAAAGGTGTCTCACCTTTTACATGTTTGCTTACTCCCTTTTAAACGTATCATACATCCTTATTTCATTCAGAATTTGTTCATTTTCTTGTTTTGTTTTATTATCCTTTGTTCCATATTTCATCTTAATAAATTTACTGATGAGGCAATTGTTTTAAATGTTCCTACTGTCTTTAATATTCACTCATGTTCCTGAGAAGTAGTTGTGCTTCCAACAGTGTTATGGGGGTGCAATGCTAAATCAGAGGGACACATGTTTTCTTTAAGAATCTCTTTATTTTCTGCTGTAATGTTGCATTACAAAGGCTGAATAACAGTAATACTTTGAGACAAGCTCGACTGAAAAAAAGAGGCAGTAACTGATGAAGAATAACTGAGGAATTTGCGTCACTGCTAAACATTTTTCTATGAATCAGAAGGCTTCACTCAACATGTGATCCACATGTGACCTGCAGCTCTGCTCAAGACTGAATGAACACCTGCTCACGGTATCCATAAGTAGCCTGGATTGTTACGGTGCTTGTTTGACACAGTGATGAACATGATTAGAATAAAGATTTGGAGATGTCAGTGCAATATCTTGTGTTCATTGAAGTTGCAGTTTTTAACTTGGTAAGCTAAAATGCCTACTGACCACTGAAAGTAAAAAATAACCTACATGGTTTGTACATTTTGAATATGTTTCTTCTTGTGTGAGCTGGCACTGAATATAATACCAAACGTTAATGCTAATCTAGGACTGATTAGAGCCGGGTCATTGCACTACATGTATAAGTAGTCTGGCACTCTCAGCACAGTATTACAATCATGTGTTTTTGTACAAAGCAGATTTATACATGACGAGCAAACAATGATAAAGAAATGACTTTGTGTCACTGTTACAGCAATGCCACATTTAGGTGGTTTGAAAATAAAATCACGTCAACAGGCCTTATTTTTGTCGTCTGTGTGCATTACACACTTAAAAAGAAAAAAGAAAAATTCTATTTCCCAAAATGTTTGTCACGTTCAGCAATTTAACGTACAGCACAAACGAGTCCCTGTAATGAGGTGTAAAGTATTTGGAATCTCAACCTCTAAGTGGTGCTACGCATACTGACCATTTCATAATAATCTATCATATATATCACGATAAAAACTAAAAGTAATTCCATTGGTTTGTCTGTTCAAACTAAACCAATAAACCTTACTGAACTGGAATCACGCGTCTTGAATCATCTATGGGCACGAGTCCGTCTCGCACACACGTTCACATCAGTAAGGACGTCGCCCCTCTTCTGACATCACATCCTCAAATGGAGCTGTGTGAGTGAAAGAAAACGGTCGGTCCTCAATTCATAGTGTAACGTTCATGCTCGCACACCCTCCCTTTATTCCCCTCCTCCTCTTTCTCCCCTTCCCCCCCCCCCCCCCTCCTCCCCCCTGGAGGAACCGCCTACAGGTCCTTCTTGAGCTCCGGCCGCTGGGCCGCTGCCTTCCTCGGCTCCGCTTGCTCGGGGCTCAGCAGCTGCAGCAGGTCGCGCAGAGCTTTTCTGATCTCGCCACCAAATGTGTTGGCGTCCTGAAGGGGGGACGTGGAATGAAGAATATGGAGATTAATGTAAACAATGTCTCTAAAAAAGGTTTTATAGAATTTGCTGTGATCGATGTCCGAGATATATAAACTCTAAGTGCTTTTATTGTTATATTTTCTAAATCTCAAGTATTGATATCTGTGTGTGCCTGAAAATAGTTCCTTTTTTTTTACTCTTTCTATATAGAAGCAATGACAAAAGTAGTGTACAATAAATATTTAGCTGTAACTACTGTCATTGAACTCACAGTGTTTGGACACGAGTGCTTGCATGTGATGTGGAAGCTCAGCATCTTCTCCCCCAAAGCGCAGTAGGACACCCCGTATCCATCATCAGCCACCTGAAGGAGACACGCACAGTATTTATACTCATGGCTGCTTGATAAATACCAGAACCAGGAGTCACTTTCAAGAGAGAAGAAGAAAAAAAAGGCTGAAATTGAATATTTGCTTGAATGCGTTTACAGACATTGCATGCTGCATTGAATGCTACAATGGCGACATGCGCGTTTATTTCTGGTTTCTATCTAAAGACAAACTTCCACAGTCAAAAGGCCTGTGAGCGAAGCACTGACCGGTCCAAAGCCCCCTCCACAGGAGACGTACTCTGGGTGGTTGACGAGGTCGAACATCTCCACTTGCAAAGGAGTCTGACTGGTGGACAGCCGCCAGGGCTCAGACAGCACCTGAAACACAAGCAGCCATTGCAGCAGTTCGCCCCAAGTCGCCACCGGACCTTCTGATATGAACATGAAAACGGCGGAGAAAAGAAAATGAACCTCTTTCAAGAAAGGAGACTCCACTTGGAGGTATTTGGACACCACGTAGAGACAAAAGAGGTGCCGGTCGATGCCAGCTCCGGTCATGGCCATGCGGTATAGTTGCTGGTGCTTTTCTGATGCTTCGTGGAACAAGCGCCGGCAAACATCTGCGTCCTGGTGAAGGAACAACATGAGTTCAACCGGTTCGCTCCGCGCACAATTGACCAAAAAGCACGGAAATCAAGAGACATTTTGCAGCGTCCGACCTCTCCGCCTTCCAGCGCTCGGACGAAGGCACAGCTCTCATTGGTACAGGAGCGAACCGTCTCGGTCCTGCCCTCCTTGAACAGACGGGTCATGGAGGCTTCGTACGTCAAACAGAATCTCCCCTGGTTCTGGAACGCAAACACGCACAACTCACATGCAGCTCACACACACACATAGACACACACTGCTGCAGAGGGAGGCTTACCCTGTAGTGGGCCAACTGAAGAGTCAACTGAATGAAGGCGTCTGGGCTGACTCGGCACTTTTTGATCTTCCCTTTGCCAAATTCTTCAAAGGAGAAAACGTGGACGTCCACGTCGTCAGCCAGGGCCTGGGCCACCGCCAGGGAGCCGGAGATCTGCTCCTCACACTGAGACGGACACATGCCAGCAGGTCAGACCAGCAGGGGGGGGCCTTTAACCGCTGTACTGTGCTTTTGAAAGAACGGGCAATGCTTCTACACCGTTACAAGTAAGGAGTCATCTTAAACCACGCCCCTTTTGTTATTACCATTATCTCATTATTATTATCTAATATAAGTGATATTTGGTCGGCTCTCCTCTTGTCGATCAAAGCGATGTTTTTTTTTCTCCCAGTTGTTTAGTTGCTCAGCTAGTGTCACTGCACGCTTCGGCTTCATGCTGATCATACAGACCAGAAAATAAAAATATAGACATAAGAAAAGGTTTTCTCACACTTTACCACTCAAACTTAACAGACTAAGATATTTGCATAACAAAGTACCTACTTGAAATGAGAACAATCAAACTTTGACTGAATACATTCAGTTCTTCGTTTTCCTGGTTAGAAAGTGGATTTTGGAGAGGGGAGCACAGGATGGGGATGGGCTACGAACCTCTGGAGGGATTTCCCAGTTCAGCTTCTGTGGTCCCGGTAGCGATGAATCCACTTCCCCTTTGCAGTGACCCTCTGCGTTGTAGCCCAGCTGGAAACAGTCAGTTGTCAAGACGTACTGGAAACACACAACAGTTACACGTGAGCGCCTCGAAGAACAAAGTCCCATCAGTGTGCAGCGTTCTCCTCCTTGGTGTTCCTCACCTGCCAAGCGTGTGATAACACCGGCGCATCAGCCCACGAGTGCTCTCCATTCAAGCCCATTTTCCCATTCTTGAAGTAAACCACCGAGAAGGACTTGTCGAACCACCTGCATGAGAGGTAGCCGAGGTAAACAGGGGGTTAAACGCTGGTTGACTCTCCCGGGGCGGAGGGGGGGGGGGCTCGTCTGAGAGTAAGATTACCTGTCGTAACATTTCCCGTGCAGCAGGGATTTGGCGTACGAGTCTATTCTGGTCGGGTCGTCTGCCACGCCGCCCTGTTCATCGTCGTCCAGGGTCACAAAGAAGGCGGCTTTCTCGATGAAGTCCAGGGAGCGTTTGTTCACCCCGCTGCTGAAGTACTTCGCCCTGGCTTTGGCCCATGGAATTCTGGGAAACATTTCACAGGGAAATGATATTACACGGCGGATGCAGTGGCGCCGTATTGTCCCGTGTGGTTCAAGCACTTAAAACGTACCTGTCTCCGGCGGTCAGGGCCCCCAGTTTGGCCTCTCCTTTAGAAGGAGGTGAAGGGTCATCAAGGATCTTCTGAATTTGGGATTCTATCTCTCTGGGCGACAGGAGTCTGCCCGCATGGTACATGCGGAGACGAAAGTAGCGGCCTCGGTGGTACACGGCGATGTAGTCACTGTCCTGCCAGTGTTGCACAGTGTCTTTGCGCATGAAAGGAAACAAAATAAATAAATATATATATATTGTTAATTGAGTCAAAGGCATGTCATGAAAACACAAATACATCACTTCGCTGATTCACTTTCTTTTGTTTATTCCAAATGGTCTGTCCTGCTGCTATTGGCTGCTGTCACAGTCCTATTGACATTAACTGGTGGAAATGACACAATAAACAGCCAGATACGTAAAAGAACAATACAACATGTGCAGGATTTTATTAGGATGGTATGTGTGTGCAGATACAGGAGGAGTCTCTGGTGTGTCCTGACTGCTCTTCCAATCATCTTGAGAAGAGCACAAAGATGAGTGACTAACGGACAACGCTCACACTGGCGCACATTTGACCTTACGGAGTTTGAATGAACGGTGAAACGTCTCCAACCTCCCCGTACAACATTTATAGCGTCATATTGGTTCGACATTTCGAGATCTAAAACCAGGATTGGGCCAGTTTTGTAAAAATGTAAATACTACCTGTTAGTGTTCCAGGTATTCGACAAGTGTCAAACATCCGCTCAAATTGATAGGAACAGCAAGGAACCGCAGACCTCAACATCCACTGAGCACAATACAGAAGGATGGGCCCATACAGAAACAAGTAGAGGAGAAAAAAGAGAGAAATGAGAAGAATAGGAAGACACACACAAAGAAAGACATCGAAAGAGAACCAGGAACGAGTGGAAGAAAAAGATGAGAAAATTAAAACGTGCGGGCAGAAGAAAATAGCCGTTAGTTGGAGACGGAACATTTCCAGAAGGCCAGAAAGACCGGAGGCGACGCCAGAAGGCAGATGACAGATGAGAGGATGGTCAGAGCAACAGACGTGCTGTGACTCAGTGAACACACACACACACACACACACACACACACGTTTCCTCAGAGGGCTCAGAAAGCTTCCGTATGCCTCATCGTGTCGTGAGCAGTGTCGTGTCACAGCACTGCTCGCTGGCTGGAGCGACCTGCTCACAATAGGCACGGCATCGCTGGTCGTGTGTCGGCGCGCTGCGTGTGCATGTCTGTCTCTTTACCTGTCTCCTCTCCAGGAATGCGTGTTGTGTTGAACATCCTCTCGCACTGAGCTGAACACAGAGGAATGACAGTGCCGGGGATGCGCGTCTGGGAAACGGAGAGGAGAGGACGGAGGAGAGCAGTGGAGGGAGTGTAGAGTCCATCAAACAGGGGGCGAAATCAAGCGAGGGAAAGACAGGTTGAAAGGAGGAGTGAGAGATGGGCGTGGTATGAGAACGTGAGGGGTTTGTTGCCACAATCATTGCATGGAAAAAATCGAAATAAACAAGAGATGCACATGATATTTAACATAAACATTGCAAGACACACAGACTGCAATGAATGGATATTACTCACAGCGTCGAGAATCAATAAAATCAATCTAAACATCTATGGGGATGCAATACATTTCTCACTGTTTATAATGAAATAAATGCAACAAGAAATTGCAACAAATATCCAAATGCTTCAAAATGAGTCTTTGAAAGGCTTCTGTTGCCAAACAAGGCGCCATGAACTCCGAAGGGCTCCGTGTGTTCGACAGGTGGGAAACTCACAGGTTTGAGCTCCTCTTTGTTGAGTTTGCGGCGGTACAGGAAGTACGCGTGGATGCTGTTTCCCGCCCGGGCCGCCTGGATGGGTGTCGGCGTCACGTACATGAAGTCCTGGGAAGGGAAGCGGGCCGTAGGGTAAACACGGGTCGCCCAAACAAAACCATCCCGCGTTACAGCGAGTTCAACAGTCCCTCGGCTCAGTTACTTGATGAATGAACAGGAATAGTCACTCGACTTTTCCACAATTAATAAAAAAGGAAGAAGAGAGTCTAACAAGCACACCTTTAGGTGGATGTTGTTTTTCTCTACTCAATGAAAAACAAACCCCCACACACGACTCGCGTGAAGGATCAGTACGGATCTCATGGCCTGCAGAATTTAAGGCCTGGTACAGTCAAACCCAATGGTGACTGCATCGGTTTAAACTGTCATTTTATCTGACCAAAAGGATTTCCTACCATGCCGTAATAGTTGCTGTTGACCATTATTGGGCTGCGTCCTCGTAGATAGACATATTCCTCCCACCAGTCACTGACCTGAAGTATTAAAAACACACAACAATTCTTTGTGAGCCGACTGGCAGACTCTTCAAATATTCCACCGGGATCAATAATTGAAACCATAAAACCTTCCAAAGACATACACGTTTTATCGAATTTTACATTTTTTCTATCGGCCTCCTTTGCTTTTTGACGCTGGCGGAAGCAGTCGCGCTCGCTGTGCTCAAGCACTTACGTAGTTGGTGGCCCACAGGGCTTTGAGCTTGAGGTACCACTGCAGGCGTTTGCCCAGGCCGCTCTCAAAGTCCTCCGACAGCGAGGTCATGCGCTCGTACTCGGTGTCGTCCATGAGCGGACGCACCGATTCCAAGTGCTGAACGAAGACAGACGTGAGGAGAAGAAGAAGCATCATTGAGCAGATGAACAACGACCAAGAAGACTACGTAGTCCACTGAATACAGAAACATAGAAACAGGTTTGGAAGGAGGGGAAACCTTCGAGAAAGTCTCTCTCCCCTCATCCCTTCAAATATACATTTATATATCCTTATGGATTAGAATTAGAATGGATTCATATATTTCTAGACCAGCACGCAGCCGGATGAAACGCTGAGACGATAACAAAATAAAACCACTTTCAACAGAGGCAGAAAATGATGATTGTGCGAAAGCGATCCATCTGTTCCGCGGTCAGTTATCAGCGTGTTGTCGTTTCCTCCGCTTCACGTGACGCCTCACCCTGTTGACCGTGTCCTTGATGAGCGGCACGGGCAGGTTTGGCAGCGAGCCCTGGTAGCTGTAGAGCAGAGGCTTCCTGCCAGAGAAGATCCGCACCAGCGCCTGGCGTGGACACACGGGCGTCCAAAACAAACATACTACAGTGAGAACATACACATGATGAACAGATCATAAGTCAAATATAGTATTAAAGGAAAGTCGTTGGATGAGTTGACGTTCAACGTGTTTAAATTGACTAATACTTGTCACTTATTTATCTATTTTTATTACTAGAAGAGCACGTACTGCACACTGTGTTTTTGTGCAGGGTGAATTAAAACATTGGCGACCGTGAGAGGACATTAAAACCGCCACTCATAAGTAATCTACTTGGTTGGTTAACAGTGACAAAGAGAGAACGGTGCGAGGCGACACTGACCACCCAGACTTTGGTGGTGTTGGACATCTTGCCGTGCTTCTCAAACATCCAGCGGTGGTACGAGAGAAGCTGCTTGAGGCACATGCGCATGGTGAAGATGAGCAGGAGCCACAGCATGGTGCTGAAGAGCACCGCCCGACACCAAGCGTCTGGCACTGCGCACTCATCGACTGGCTGGGACACTGCGGGGGGGGGGGGGGGGGGACGGGCAGAGGGAGGGCGAAGAACGGCGAGTGAAGCGGATAACATAACATAAGGACGCTAAAAAGCACATTTATTATTTGATTTGATCGCGCCCTCTCTAACCCGATCTACAGTCGGGGGGAGGGGAGCATTTTGAGTCCGCAGGACTCGGTGAATCTTTATCAATACAACGGAGTCACGAGATGTGTCACCTGACTGGCAGGTGCTCCTGTATCTTGGCTATGAGTCCCATGGAGGGGTCCGAGCGGGTGTACATGGTGGCCAGGATGGCTATGACCACGAAGAGCCAGGAGGAAAGACTCGCGGGATACACCCCCGTCACCACGCTGTTCTGTCACACGCAGAGATTTAAAATCCATTCCCGTTCTGATTCCGATCACGCATAAGTGGCTCATATAAATAACGTCACTTTAATCGTTATCCCCATTGCTTAAGAAAATGAATGAGCGACGGGAGATCAAACAAAGACAGAAGATCTCCACGTTGAACTGTGTGTTATTATGAGTGGCCTTTATTATTGATTGAGGATGAAGTCCACACATTACAACAACAAAAAAAAAAACACAAGAGAGGGGGAAGAGCTGTAATAACAACGAGGGGGAGACACACGTGTGACTGTGGAGCGTTTGGGGTCAAATCGACAGTGACATCCAGAGCTGAGGTACCTTGAGTCCGATGACACGCTTCTTCCAGGAGCGCACACCAGAGAGGTAGATCTCTGTGAGGGCCTGGTGGGACAGATGAAGATCGATGCCATCTGGGCTGACTGTGAACTGGAAGGCCACCGCCTGGTGGGCTTCCGCCATGATGACTGTGCACAACGAGAGGGAGGGAACAATAAAACGTCCAGTTCGACTGTGAGTAGGAAGCCTACGGCCGGGAGGCAAAGGTGTGTTTTAAACAACAAATTATAGAAATTAACAAAGACAATGCTGATGAAATGAAACAACTTATCTCAGGTGAATTTGGAATCCTAATATAAAGTGACTTTTTAAACGTTTGAAACCACTTCAAGATGTACAAACTTAACTTGTTGAAATGCCTGCAATATAAACTTTAACATAATTCAGCAAAAAGTGGAAGCTGCACCGTATCACACATCAATTTGTGGTGTTTTTGGTTTATGATCAAGCAGATAAGAGTGCTTGGATGTGGGAGATGGGAAATTCAAATTGCACCATCTGGATTCCTGCTGCGTCACTGGATCAATTGTGATCCCAATTCAAATGTGCACTGCAGCCGCTGAAGGCAAAGCGAGCCATGAAGGTGGAAGCAAGCGAGGGAAACAAGAGACGATTCATTCAAACTGAATCATGCTGAATTAGGCTCATGCCTGCCAAAGACAGCATCCCGAGCGTTTTAAGAGGACCTCAAAAAGAGACACACTATGCACGAGACCTTTTAAAAGCAAAGGCAATGGAAAGGCATTGACGGGCTGCTGATGTGATCGGATGTATTGGTTTCTGGCAAATAACTGCTTCTCTTCACATGGGATTGATTTTCCTCCACAAATGGGCTATGGATAATGCCCCGAGGTTGAGTCACGCTGACACTGGAATGCACCGCTGTGGAGGCCACGTCGGCACTTGGTGTGTCCTTTAGGTCAGATCTAACAGACATAAAGTACATCTGCATTCACGACGCAGTATCTTTGGCATCTATTTGGATTCCCAATTCACCGAGAGCTCATGTCATTAAAAAAAGACCGCCAGACAATGAAACCGCTTAACAATGATGTTTTTGGATTAGGCTACAGTACAATCTAAACAAGTAATTAATAAAAGGGATAAATAAAAGGTATATATTTCAGTTTACATAAAGGTTTTGAACGGACGAAAAGGTGTGCTTTGAATTTTTGGATTACTGCCAGACAGAAAGCGGGTGGATCAACAGTGGGCAGTGCAGAAAGAGGAGGAGGAGGAGGAGGAGGAGGAGGCAATAGGGCGGGAGGGAGGGCGGAAGGGTCGGTTTGTGTAAACTAGGTGAAAGGTTACACCTCAAAGGCGTAGAGTAGTTCTCCTATTAGAATTACTCAACCTATTGTTCCACTGCAACTTTACCCTCCTCAATGTGACATGCATGTTTGTCTAGTGGTTCTATTCCCCCCCCACGCCCCTCCAGAATAAGAGTACATCGGAAGGCAACAGATATATTCTCAGCTCTGCCTTATCATCACTTATCTTGACTAACCTTTGCCTGCAACTCTGGACAACAAGGAGCAACCAACAGATGGATAATAGCTGCGTGTGTGTCTCTCTCTGTCTCTCACACACACACACACACACACACACACACACACACACACACACACACTTTCCAAGGCAACAATTACAAATGCAACCCCGTCAGATTTCCCTTTCATACGCGCACAGAGTCCAAAAAAAGTCAACAAACAATAAAATTCATACAATTAGTGATGACTACACCTCAGCCAAGTCAACCAAAGTCAAACAGCAGGCAGATGGTTATGAACCCCGGCGAATACTTAGCTAACGGTATATGATGCTAGCTTAGTAGATAAACGAGACCCCCACGAGACCCCCCGTTTAGTAACACTTGATTAGCCTTAAGCAGTAGTAACGGTCTGGATAATCACGTTTATTCGCGTAAAGTGTTATTAACCTAACCAGTTAACTACACCATTACTATAGCAGAGAGCTCCACAAAAACGTTCGCCATCGTGCTACAAATGTGGGAAACCAATTGATCCAAGTTGAGGATAGCCGACGTTATAACTGACGTTAGCTAAATGGAAGCTAACGGCTAGCCGAGCGACTCGAGCCCGTGTCGCGCGACAGCTTTGCCCGGATTCTGCTATGACTTCTTAAAGCCGAAGATGCGCATCTGCTTAGCAACGCGCAACGTCATTTCCACACACACCTGTGAGCGTACCTGTTGTTGTTGTTTACGAAATGTCGCGGTGGTCCCGGAGTAGCAGAGCTGTTAAACTTCTGACGACGACTGCAAGTGATGTCGGGCCTGTCGGACTGAGCTCGCGCTCTCCTCCAGGAAAACGCCGGTGCTGCCTTCACGTGCCGTCGGAAATGTCGCAATCACGCCGAGGCGGGATGCCCGGGCTGCTACGTTCAGGGCGCAGAGAAGCTTGTGTCGACATTGGTGTCTGTCGCCCCGGAATGTTTCGTTCGGGTGAATTACGGCGTCTTCACGTGTGACCGTCGTACGTTTTGAATACAATTGAACAACAAATATATTCAGCACTGAGACAACGACCGTTAGTCAGGTAATCAATACACATTTCTAGCCAAGGCTGATCCTAATCCTATTCCTTAGATGTGTTTTCTTCTTCTTTTGCTTGGTTATGGTGAACTATGGACGTTGGTTGATTGGCAAGTGAGTCATTTTTTTCCTGACGTTTATCTTGTTTGAGCATTGGTTCATGTTGTGGTTATTACAATTTGTAATAGTATAACTAGAATATAATAATTTCTTGCAGGTGGTAAAATAATCTAAAGTTTGAACTTTTTCTATATTAAAGAAAGACAAAAGAAACAGCCATGAACAATGAATAGATGTCATAAACCCAGAAACTAAATAGACACACGCATGAATTTAGGGTTTATTGTTGTAACCATAACAATAAGGTGGATCTCTCTTTATTTTAACCATCAATTCAATCATAATTGTTCTTTTTATCACAGGCAATAGTTATAATAGTGCACTTTTTATATTTAAATTATGATACAGACATTTCTTTTTTAAAACACCTTATTCTACTGACCCTTATGAATAGAGAATAGTGTACAATCTTAGCCAGAGTTGGGTCAATGAAAGTGAAAGTGAAAGTGATGAGAGCGATGGGAATGGTGATGGTGAGCAATCAAAGAGTGCATACGGACAGTGTGGCAAACAACTTTATACAGTTTCTCTCGTGACGATGGCTACACAACAGGTGAAGAGGCAAACAGACAGGTCAAAGGGGCAAGGCATAAAACCGAGAGACAAAGCGAATTAGCAAGCCTTTAATGTGTGTGAGATGTGCGATGAGCCTGTCATGGTTTGGCTGTTAGTTGATGAGATATTTCTGGGTCTCTGCACATGATCAGCTCAAAATGCATCTGCTCCAAAGGTTTCAGCTCACGCTCACACACCTTCCAGTTAGAGATAAGTGCAATAAAAGACATGTTAGATACAAACAAAGGTCATCGGAGAAGTCAGATGAGAGCAACTTGTTCGTCCTGCCATCAAAGTCGTCATTCGTTCTTTAAACAAACACTCAAACAAGAGTGACAAAGAGAAATGAAATCTAACAGGTTTGTTGAAGTAGCTGTCGATATATATATATATATTTTGTTGGCATAAAATCTAGTTTGTAAATGAGCACATGGCACGAGCAACCACATGACTAAACAAACACACATATAAATAAATACAAATAAATAGACGCCTAGGTAAACAACAGATACAAAACCAGAATTCAAATAAACGCAACCGTAGCACTGTGTATCTCTCTGAAAACATTCTGCACTTTCGTTGCATATTGTGCTGCATGGAAGACTGGTGAAGAACATCGACTAGTCTGCCAGAGTGCTGGAGTAATACGCGAGTGTCCGAGGTGCTACGTCCGCTGGCGGGATGCTGCGACTCTCCGGGGGTGAGCGCGGGTGCAGTGATGGACTACTTGGCTTGTGGGGTGAACACTGAAGTCAGGAGCAGGGGGGAGGGGAGGGTGTCTCGGGGACTCTTTGTTTGCTTCTCATTTTGAAGTCCATGTTCAACAAGGAATTGACATCGCAAGCCTTTAAAGTCCGGCTTTTTGAAAATGTCCGGGGATGAATTTCCTTTAGTTTTTTTTTGTCGTTGCTGTTATATTTTGTTCCGAGTCAGTGTGTGGATATTATGGAGATAGGAGATAAGCGGGCCAGGAATGTTCCTCTCATTCCATCTGGGCACAAACAGCTGTGATGAGGTTCATGGAACTATTCACGCGTTCAAGTGTTTGTATGTTTTCTTTGTATAATTACGTTTCTATTTCTGTTCAAATCAAAAATACTTTTTTTTTCAGAGCAACAGGGGTCCAAAGCAAACGCCTTAGATGAATTGTTTAATATTGTCTCTGAGTAAAAAGAAAATACAAAAGAATTAAAACATTTAAGTCGAAACAAATAAAAAGAAAGATAATTTCAGTTTCTCTCTCTGCTGTTATCACTATGCTACTGACATCCTCCAAAGAAATGTGCAAACAATGAATACAAACTAAATAAAAAAATATTAACTTTTTTTCACATTCACTTACATAGCTTACTTGGTTGGTTTTATTCACCTCAGGAGAAGACACTGCTGGAATTCTCCTGAGGAAATCAGGACCTTTCGTTCGGCTCATCGGCACTCGCTGGAGTGGGAGCAGGTCGCTGACTCTGAGGCTTCATCTGCTGAGATGCGTCTTTAATTCTTTCGGTACGGACGGGTATGTTGCTTGATAATGGTATGAGTGCACTGGTTCATTTCATCGAGTTATCTTGAGAACCATCGCAAGACTGTTATCTTTTTGGTGACGGATACTGTTTCACGATGATTTGCTCGTCTAGCCTATCAGGTCATTTTTAGCATCCTTTAGCAGGCTGGTTTGCTAACTGGCATGCACATTAGCACTTTAAAACTCCTAGTTTGATCTGTGAAGCTGTATCTATGATGGATCGCAAACTGCTCATTCATATTACTTTTTTCATTAAAAGGGTGATTCCTTAACACTTGGTTCTCCTTTCAGGATCCAGAAGGTCGTGGAATCTCGAGATGGGAACAAAAGCGTGACGGGGGCGGGGGGGGCTGAACCTTCGCACCTTCATTAACAAGGAAGAAGAGGAGTAGCTGATGGCTGACGGAGATGCTCGGCGGGGACGTCACACTTGTCTTCCTTCCGGTGAACGTCAGGCTCCCGGCTGCATGCTCTCGCTTTCTGCCCCTACGGTTGGGATTGGGTTCCATTGGAGGACAGCAGACGGGTCCTCTCCTTCGCCGAGCCTCTGCGCTGCAGAACCCCTCCGCTGCCGCCGATGCCTCCGCCGTCCGCCCGGTCGCCCCACTCGCATCTGTCGCCCCCACCCTCGGAGCGCCTGGAGTTTTGGCGGGTGGGGGTTCCGTGGGGCCGGCCGTTCTTCTCGTCTGGGAAGGGGTCAGTAGAGGAGAAAGGGGACAGTAACTGTCGACGTATACATGCTACTGCAGTCAGTGGACTGAGAGGCAGGTGCGATTTACAAAAGTCATTTTACAAAGAAAAAAAAAGAACTCCTTTATTAAAGAATATTAAGCAGACAGCAGTGGGAGTTTGAGCTTTTCATACACAAACTACTGCTTGAGATAAATAAAACAGCTTGAACCAGAGAATAAATATGTATGTAGTCAAGAAGCAGGAACAGGACGCTGCTGACAACAGCAACATCCGGTGAAGACTCAAAAACTATTACAGCACAAAGAAAGAAGTATTGGCCATGTGGTTAAGAACCCTTTCAAAACAAATATGGGAAACATTCCTAGGAGATATTTGCCTCGTCATGGAATGAGGTCAGGTAACGGTGTGTTTCAGCCGTCTCACCAGATAGCGCTTGCACCATGGGCTGATCATGGGAGCTGAGAAGCTGGGCCTGAATGGTTTCCACCACTCGTCTGAACCTGCGGCTCGGACCTGGAGTTGCAACGAGGCGACACCACATGATACTTGAGGTTTAGAAACAAAATCACGACTTTAAAATGTTCAGATATTAAGATTATTTTCTTTCTTTCGTAATTCGGTCCGATTGTCTACTCCAAATAAATAAAGTAATACAGTGACACACAAATGTCTGAATGCGAGAATAAAAAGATTAAGGATCTGACAAATATCCATTTTTATGGTTATTTAAAGGAGTAGGAAATCATTTAAAGGATTTACATTTTAAGAAATATCCGCTTTGTGGTGGAGCGTCAGATAATTGTAATAACTTTATTTATAAAGCTGAAGCCAGCCGCCTGTAAGCGTAAAGACCGGAAACAGGATGAAACAGATTACCTGGCTCAGTTCAACAGCACATAACTATGCGTGTGATCCTTTCTATCAGAACTATCCCCTTAAGTTGGCACTGACAAACTACCCCCATAAGTTTGAATCAGGGGCGTATTGAATGGTTGATGTGAACGAAACGTTCCCCCCTCTTGCCTGAAATGAGGGTGAAGGTCACGCTGTAGATTCCCGTCTCCCTCCTTCCCTCCCTCTCGGTCCTCTCCCGGTCTCGCTCCCTCTCGCCTTCGGAGAAAGCGATGTCCACCTGGAACTTGACGGGCTTCTGGAAGACGGAAGGGCCGCCGGAGGACTTGTACTCGGCCCGAAAGCTGGTCTGCGAGAGAACGCTGTGGCTGAGCGACGGGATCTGTTTGGTAGGGCGATAGAGAAGAAGCAGAGAGACCGACAGACTTACGAGGCGGGAGAGGTGCGGGGGCCAACGTGAGTATAGGGAGACAAAGGGTGAGGGCGAGGAGAAGAGAGAAAGAGTGAGCCATTGGTGAAGGCAAAGTGATCCATCAACGTGCAATAAATGAAATAAAGAGAAAGATGAAACCATAATGGAGATGGCGTGCGTGCAGTGTGAGAGTGCGCGTCGAGGCCTTGAAGCTTTCTACAAACGTCAGATACTCACGGACAGGAATGCGTGGACAATGTCGGCTTTGACGGAACTCAGAGGTTTGTCTCTGATCACCACGAAGATCTGCTCCTCCTTCTCCAAGCCGATGAAGTTCCCGAACCACGACTTCTTAGCCAGCCTGTTGGCCAGACAGAATAAAGCGTACGGTGGGAGCAAGTACGCGGCCACGCACAGACACTCGTACAGGAGGGTGACTTACTCGGGGCTGGATTCTGGCGTTAGACTGGACATGTCTTCTGACGTAGGAACTGAAAGAGACAACTCATATTAAAATGTCATATTTTTCTACAATATTAGATCTTGAGCTGCAAGCGAGGGAGAAAAAAAAAAAAGAGTTTAGATCCTCGTATGCAGATCTGTTCTATACATGCAGAAAAAGAGTGTTTAAAGGAAACCTCTGGAAAATGATCCGTACCGGCGCCGCCACCAACCGCCACATTATAGGAGGCAAAGCTCACCTTGCAGTTTGCGGCGGTGGAACCGGGGCGAACCCAGCAGGTTGTTCTTGAAAGAATTGAGGCGAGTCCTCCAGTGGGCGGAGCTGCTGGCCGCCATGCCGCTTCCCCCTCCGGGGCTGGAGGGCGGGGTCAGGGACAGCGAGCCCACGCCTCCCCCTCCCTCCGCCCGCGAGGAGGACGAGGACGAGGAGGAGGAGGGCGGGGTGGAGGAAGGGTGGTGAGGGTGGTGGACAGGGGTGCCCAAGGGCGTGGGCAACGGAGAGCCCTGGGGGGTGACCTGCGGCACAGAGTGGGCACAGTTTGGGTAGAAGCTCTTAGTCAGGGACTTTAGGACAGAGGACGAGGGGAAGAAGAAACGCGGGATGGGTGACAGCAGCGGAGAGGGGGAGGGGGAGCGGGAGGATGGGTTGTGCAGAGGCAAGGACTTGATGGGCTGCAGGTGGGGTCGGTCTGCCGGCCCCTTGGCGGGCAGGGTCTGGGTCTTTGGGTTGGGGAGAGCTTTGGGCCTGTCGTGAGCCCGCGCTGGGCGCGGTGTGGTGGCGTTTCCCTGTTTGGGCTCCTTTGTGAGGTGGGAGGCGGTGGCAGAGGAGACGTCTGATTGGCTGAAAGTGAAGACGGGGCTTTGATAGGACTGGGGTGTCGGGTTTGTGGGGTGGGAGGGATAGAAAATAAGAAAGAGAGGGGATGGAACATGGAGAAAGGATGGAAATGAATATCATGCTTTATGACAAAAGAGTGCATCTTGTGAGTAGTGAAAGTGTCAAATGCAATACTACCAGCTCACTGTAAACGCTTCAGTCTTTTGTGCCATTTGTGAGAGTTTTGTGACAGTCGTGCTAGTGAGAGGGTGAACAATGCCGCGACAAGGGACAGTGGCCGTGAAGGTGTTACTGTTCAGTGTTTGCTTTTCAGTTAGGGTTGATTTGTTTACCACCTATGCAGGTTAGGATATGAAGCCAAATCATCTCATTTAAAGGTCCCGTGTGTATTCAACTAGTTCATGCATGGTTAGGAAGTGGAGTGACATGAAGACGTGTGTGTGTGTGTGTGTGTGTGTGTGTGTGTGTGTGTGTGTGTGTGTGTGTGTGTGTGTGTGTGTGTGAGAGAGAGAGAGAATAGATCTGGAGAGCTGGTGTTGTGATGATGTGTAAGAATGACTGAGGAGCTGATTACATTTTTTTAAAGCGGTTGGATGCCGGCGAAAACAGTAAAGAGAAAAGTCGGTGAGGTAATGACAGTATTCTGATTTGAGAGTTCACACTGTGATTAATAAAACATTAAAAATGTCAAGCAATAAGCTAAACATGTTCATTCAGTGCAAATGTGTTTTTATGAGCTTATTTCAAGCTAACATGTGGATTTCTGGACCGTGTTCAGTTACTGCGCTGCAGTAGTACTAGTAGTAGCAGTAGTAGTAGGTAGTAGTGATAGTAGCAGTAGTAGTAGCGGTAGTAGCAGTAGCAGTAGTGGTGATAGTAGCAGTAGTAGTAGCGGTAGTAGCAGTAGCAGTAGTGGTGATAGTAGCAGTAGTAGTAGTAGTAGCAGTAGCAGTAGTAGTAGTAGTAGCAGTAGCTGTAGTAGTAGCAGTAGCAGTAGCAGTAGTGGTAGTAGGAGTGGTAGTAACACAAGAGAAATTTCTGTAATCAGAGTTACTGACTTTCAAAGTCGTCAGATTGCTGAACCGAACACTTTGCTGTTTTGAAGTGTTTGCGGTTTACACACAACATGAGTGACAAGCAACAGCGAGTCACTCATGTCTTTGTTGTCTGGTCTTCCAACAACGTTCAGTCACCAAAAACCCTCCATGAAGCGAGGCGGTCAATGACTTCTAGCACGCTGACATGTTTGCAGGTCTTTAGTGTGGAGCATGTTAAGAGCTGGCCAACAGCCCCTTACCCTGGGACTGCTGAGAGGGCTGGAGGAGAGGCCGGTCGATGCGCCACTGACCGAGCGGGACCTGACAAAGAGAACAGAGGTCAAAAGACCACGCAGGAATTGTTACAATTCCACATTTAGGGTGCGTGTACTGTGAACACTGTACCTCTGGCTGTGTGCGGCTGTGTCCAGAGCCCTGCGAGGCGGGGTAGGAGACCCCTGTTCGGTGACACTCAGCACCTCCAGGCTTTTCCTCTCGGGGCGACAGCGGCCGTGGCGCGTCAGCATCGGGGAGTCCACGCGCTTTCGAGGAGGATCTGCTGTGGGCCACCACCATTGAGTTATGACAGGATTGATCAGATAAGTGGGTTTTGCGCAAAAGCCGTAGTGAAACATCTCAAAAAAAGGATTTTCCCTTTTTTGCCTGCGTCTTCATCTTCTCTCTCCCCCACATTTATGTACTGTTTTGCAGTACTAAAAAGTATAATTATACTGAAAGTGATTTTTCCACAGGCCTCTAGCTTACAGCTCCATCTGTGACGGATAAAGTTTAGTTCGGTAGTTAAAACCCAATTATGACTTATTTGAAGTAAAATGTTATTATAATACATAGTTCAATAAAATTCAATCATGAAATAGTTTTAAAAAACAAACTGACTTTTTTACAAACAGCACATAGACAAAAATTGCGGCCGGCCTTTTTTCCATATTGCTTCAAATTATAAATATTCCATCCAAATTAGATTTAGAAAATAATACATAACACTGGCGAATTCATTGGCAGAGGTAATTAGTACCTTGTTATGGCACCAGACTCACAGACTGTGGGTCACAAACCTCCCTCGAGTGGGTCCCTCCTGCCCCCTAGTGACTGACCTACGTCATTGCGTGGAGGCAAATCCTCATCCTCATAGCTGGGGTAGCGCTCTTTCCTGTCCAGCAGCAGGTAATAGATCATCTTCTCCTGGTTTTCCCTGAAATTAACAAAAAGAGAGAGAGTGAGAGAGTGAGAGGGGGGTAGATGCTCGTTGGATGAGATGTTAAAATTGTGAAAGAGTAATGTTGAAAAAGATCTATTTGTGATAATTGTAGGTAACCCTGCAATAAAATCTCTGGAGAAACAAAGAAGAGCAGCAGACTGGAGATAAATGACCACCTAAGCATCCAAAGACGTTCCCCACTGAGGTCTGTGCAGGATCTGGATGCGTCATTACAGCAATACACAAGACTTATTTGAGCACACAGGCCAGATTATCATTTGAAGCCCTCAATATCACTTTGTTGTGACAAGCAGCACCAGACGGCACCCTGACGCAAGATCCCTCAGCTTCCAGTCCATGCGCGTCTATGCATTAACCCTGTGTTGAGTTACTCATCCGCACTCAGAGGTTGGGAGGAACCTTTAGTCCCTCTCTGCTTCCAGGCAGCACTCCAAATGTCGGCCAGCACCAACCAGGCGTCAATGCATTTACTCAGCGTATAAATCGTCTGCTGTGATGTAAAGAATTGAGAAAAAAAGACTCACTCTTCACATTGCAAATCCCGTGTGAGCTTTCCTCGGTCCCGGAAACAGCCCAGCGAGTGCATGCTGTCCAACACATCTGGGTCCAGCTCAGTCAGGGACGAGATTTGCCTCACACACACCCGCCTGGGAGGAGGCTGCTCTGGACACGGCTCATTACGACCACCCCTGGGAGCCACACACACACACACACACAAGCACACACATAACACACATGTAAGGCACGTGAATGACACAGATACAGTGTATATAGTTAAATAAGACACAGCATCCCTTTAGATTAGTACCTCATTCAACGAACACATATTAAGTGTACTCACAGATACCAGGCGTGTTTCTGGATGGCCTCGAGCTGTAAAGGGCGACAGGGCAGTCTGTTGAGAGCCAGATGGCCACAGAGCTTTGCTGTGTACACTCTTCATACCAGATACTTCTCTTGCACGCACGAGAAACATGAGTTCTGAATATTTCACAGTTAGAAGGACACTTTGCATGCGTCTGGCTGGTTTCTGATACCTTTGACGGTGACGATGACGCAATCAGCTAATTGCTAAGTAAATGCAACTGTGTCTCTGATCCAAATCAGCCAGATCAACAATCAACAAAATGCTGTTGCAACGTGCAGTCAAGAAAAGACGGCAAGTCTAAAACGGAATAATAAATAAAGGAATAATTATTGATATTAATGACGCGTCTCTTTTTAATTCACGTGTGTTGAGAAGGAAAAGGCCCATTGTGGACCCTTGTACACAGATGTCACATCTGACTGAGTGATCTGCGGATGCAGTCGGCCCATGAGCTCTGCGTCCGTTCCAGGTGTCTAAGCAGCATTCCAGCCCCCCGTGCGTGAGTCCGGGGTGAGCCGAGCGCCGTACCGTGAGCCTCTTTTCGGGGTTGACCTCGATCATGCCCTTGAGCAGCGACTGGCAGTCCGGGGGGATGAAGTGGGGCATGTGGAACACCCCGCTCTTCACCTTCTCCAGGAGCTGGCGTAAGTTGTCGTGGTCGAAGGGCAGGGCTCCCTGTGGGAGAGAAGAGGAGCGGTGAGGGCGACGAAACAGATGCCGTCAAATAGATGTGACTTGGAAAACGGGGTGAAAGACCCACCACCAGCAGAGCGAAAAGAATGACCCCACAGCTCCACACGTCTGCTCTCCGCCCATCGTATTTCTCGCCCTGCCGAAGAGAGAGTCCAGATCAGCTCCACAGTCACTATTAATAACATTGATTGATTACATTTGAAGCCTGTCCAGTCGAATAAAACGCACTGTAATCGATTATAACCCTAAACACACTGAAACCACCTTTTTATCGATAGGACTAGACAATACTCTTGTATGCTGGGTCCATTTTAGGAACATCTGATTAAAGATACGCCTTCTTTAAAACAAGTGACAGAGTATATTTAACATTTATTTTTAAAAATCAGAATCCGTCAGTGACGGGGTTCATGTAACAAAGTATTTGCCACTAAATGGATCTTTTATTTTCATTATTCGCTCAGTTATATTGCAGGTACCAGAATGGGAGGAACACTTACCCGTATAACTTCAGGACAAGCATAATGTGGTGATCTAAATGAAAGAAATATGTTACCTATCAACATTTTCATGGATCATTGGATGGATCATGCACTCTTTTAGTGTTACGATAATAATATGCATAGATTTGCATCCGTCCTGGATTTTTTAGAATGTGTGTTTCTATTTTTATGCAACACACATTTAGGGGGCTGGTACTCACCCACAGCTGGTCTCTAACAAACTGTCTCCCACCTGCAGGGAGGCCATGCCGAAGTCAGCGATACGGATGTTGTTCTTTTCATCCAGGAGCAAGTTCTCGGGCTTCAGGTCTCTGTGACTGCAAGAATATAACAGATACTATTAGTCTCCTGATTATGGCATGTTGTCTTAACTGTGACCACAAGTGCGTTTATTATTGGTTCGTGCAACGCGATCCGAAGGGTTTTCCGATGATTTAGTATTTGATCCGCTGTCACAGAATGACAAGCTCCCGCAAACATCAATTAGGCGTTAAAGAGGAAAGTGTCAGATGCGTCTTCTGAGTCATTCTGCCATGACACATTCTTCAATCTTTAGAGATGTTCATTTAAGACCCAAACACCAACCAGATGGAATGACTGTGGCAGAAATCCAAAGCGGAGATGATCTGCCTGAAGAACTTCCTGGCCTCTTTGGGAGTCAGCCGGCCCTTCTTCACCAGGTAGTCAAACAACTCTCCTCCTGACACGTGCTCCAACACCAGGTACCTGCCGAACATCCAGGACAGCGGTGTGATTTAAAACAGTCATCTCTAGAAGAAAGAGGGGGGGGGGGGGTAACCTCATGCAATATTAAAGCAACCATTGATGCATGATGTTGGATTCTAGGAACACCACACTGGGATAAAATGGTGCAATTCAACGTTTTTCGTTACGTATCTGACTTCAACCAACCCGCCGGTCTACACCAACAGTTGTCTCACATCGGCCTTAAATCATTTAGCAGAGTATTTTTTCTCAAGATAGATCAACAACTTTCCTGAATAATTGGGGGAGATGAAGGAAAAGGCAGAGTGACGAGAGCAGAATAATGCAGCTGTTAAGAGTCATATTTATAGCAATCCTGCACCCAGGTTCTGATTTCGGAAACAAGAAAAAAAAAGCAAGCCGACTGCACTGAGGCTCGGTTCGTGAACGCAGGGGGAAACTCACAGGTATTTGTTATTCTCGTAAACATCATGCAGCTTCAAAACATGCGGATGCTCAATCAGTTTCAGAATGGCAATCTCCCTCTCAACCTGGTTAGAGAGAGAGAGAGAGAGAGAGAGGAGACAGGTGCAAGGAAAAAGAGATGAAGATACTAAAGCAGAGGTTCATTTCTAAACTAATACATAAATGCATACACATTTCGTTGCATCTCATTAGAAACATTACGGAAGAACCTGGACGGCGTCACCGACGTACCTTCATCAGCACCGACTCAGACAGCTTCTCTCTGTTGACTATTTTGATCGCTACCTTCTGACCCGTAATGCAATGGACCCCGAGCTTGACCAGGCCTAGAAGACACAACGACAGAGACGCAGACAGAAGCGGAATGAAGAGAGCGCGACGGAGGCCTCTCTCGCCTGCTGTGAACATTCGAAAGGCACCTGGTCGGACTCACCTGTCTGTCCCTTCCCCAGAGTTTTCTCCAGTCGGTAGGGCCCAACATACTGAGCTGACTGACTTAGGGACAGTTCCTTACTCATACTGCTCTTTCTGGAGGCTAATGCGCTACTAGTACTGCACGAGGGGGGTTATTGCGATCTCTGGGGTATTTTTTTACCGCTTAAGCAGTCGTTGTGGGCTACAAGAAGGTGCTCGACTGAGAAGAAGGAGCACCTTTTTTTTATTTCAATGCAACTCTGCGGTTACAGGACGAAGCTGGAGCTGATTCACTACATCTGGGGGATGAATTAACAGTCTTTATTCAGACGTGGTTAACACACACACACACACACACACACACACACACACACACACACACACACAGCTAGATAAATATGTCAGTGTTTGTGATCTGAATCGCGTTTCTAGAGGTGGATGCGAGCAGAGAAACCGAACTTGATGCGTTAAGTTCCTCCGCTGCTTAACGCGTTAAAACACTGACCAGCTCACTTATATAACTCACACGCGCACGACGTGCAGGTTGTATGACGGCGGAGAGGAAAACGACCGTCACGACGTCATTAGCCGCTGTGCGGTTAGCATGAATGGTGGAGGCTAACGGGCATCACGTCGGGACGCTCGACCGGGCGGGTAATTGTGTCAGTTTATCTCCCTCCGGTCGGGGCCTGTGGTTTTTTCTCCCCCTCTCCGCAGGTGCAATAACATGCTATTTTCTGGCCTCGCCGGCCGCTCTCCCCCGCAGCAGCGGGGCTAGCTTTAGCCTCCGCGGCCGGACCGACGGCCGCCGGTCAGAAGGACCGACCCCTCCGGAAGTTGCCGGGCATCGCCGAACCGTCAGACGTGTCGCACAGTCGCCGCATTCCGGCGAAATCTCCTGGTGAAACGCGTACTCCCGACGAAACAACCATCCCTGTCGAGGTCCTCCCCCATCTCTCCTCCGCCAGCCTCCTCCTCCTCCCCCCCCCCCCGCTCTCCCGCCTCTACCTCCCTACATCACGGCAACTAGCGGGATGTCGACCGGCAGCATCTTCTCCTCCCCGCCTCGCTCCTCCGGCGCGGTCCTCCTCCCCCTCGGCGGCGGGCGCACGGGGGACAAACGAACGGCAACGAGAGACGCGGATGGCCGCACTATCAAAGGCCGTCGCGTCCCGTTCCTGCTGGTGGCTCACGCGGGGTAAAGGCCCCCCCTGAATTACACTCCCTTCGCTTTTTCTTGCCGTAAATCGATATTTTCTCTCGCGCTCTCCTCCTTCCTTCGTCTCGCTCGCATCAGCATCCGGGTCCCTCTCGCTCTCTCCATCCTCTCCCCCCCCCCCTCTCTCCCCCTCTCTCTCTCTTACCACCCCGCCCCTCCCGCAGAACCTCTTCCTGAAAACCAGCTCATGCGTGCTTTCCCGCCGTGTCCCCCTCATTGTGAGTCCCGTTATCTCCCCTCCTCTCCCCCGGTTGTACTAAATCCAGCCCCCCTGTTCTTAAGTAAGACCCCAGGATGATCACGGCGGGGACGCCGCTTGCTGATGGATGCTGCAGCTCACTACGATTCTCAGCACTGGGGGGGGTAATTGAAGGGCAGGTCTATTCCTTTTTGAGTTAGTCACAGTTAAACGATGACATTAACCCCAGTGCAGTTCTGAACAATGATGGTAAATATAACACTGTGAAAGGAAGCATTTTGCATAATGAGTGGTTTTATAAGCACATTTTACAGGCAATGGTACTTTTACTAGCAGTTAACATGCAGGATTATTACCAATTCTGGCAGTAATAACGGTGACCATTACAATGAAAATGCCTGCATTCTTTATTTATATTACTCAAGTATCAACAGCAAAGTGTAGAGATGCAAAATAAAGTGCATGTTGTTCAATGATTTATGTTTTCTTAGCAGTTTAATCCAGAATAAAGTATAATCATTTATAAAATGCGAATATGTTCGAGCTTGGTATTAGATGAATGTTCGACGCTAATAGCTAAAAATAAATTGACCAAAAAGGAACGTGTTTTCGCAGTAAACTTTGTTCGTATGCCCATGGGTCAGTATCCCTAAAGACGTGTAACAGCTGAAAAGGCAAAAATAACATTTTCCTCGCTAAAAAATGTCAACAATTTGCCCCTCCTCATCTGAAAAGGAAAAAAAAGACACGTTTGAGACCAATCATGCAGGCATGACAGTTTTATATATGTTTTTTAAAAAGGTAAGTATGACATTTTAATGTATCGTCTGTAAAGTGCCTTGAAAAATCTCTAAAATCTAATTAGAAATGTTGTGTGTGGGTGTATAATTCCCCAAAGCCCATCTTCATCTGCGCATCTAGCTCGTCGATTCACGGGAGGATTTGTCTCCAACCAGTGAGCAGAAATAGAGCAGAACACAAACTTTTCTGAAGGGACGTATGTCCTCTTTTGGGATCAAAGTTCATCAGCGCAGTAAAGATGAGTAGGCCTAAAATCAGGGCCGTAAAAGGTTTAAGTCTACATTCATGACAGATTCACTGGGAAAATCCCCCTTTGTTTGGAAGTGAGGAAAGCGAGGAACTTCGGGAAAACCTTCTCTCGTCGGACCGTTTCTCCAGCGTGCTCTAACGTGCACTCGAGGCCCACAAACACTGAACGACCCCCGACTGTGTAAAGTAATATTAGACGGCTCAGTGCAGGAAGTCACGTCAGGATTAACCAGAGATTAACAAACTGATCTTAAATCTACTAAGAGTTGCAATTACTCCACAGCCAGCAAATCTAACAGCTAATCTAGTCTGATAATATGTATGTGATTGTAAAGGGAAAGAAACACACTGCGCGCGCTAAATGACAATAAATCATATTTATTGTTGCTTTTTTTCTTTGTGCATTAATACGTTCCGGTGTAAAGCGAGTTATAGGTGAGTCCATAATCGAGATGTAACATTCACAATAACATTTTCTTAGTATGTGGCTAAGACGCTCCGTCTTCACCCCCATCTTCACATTTTCAGATGATTCGCTCCAGTGCAAAAAGCCAGGAAAGGAATGCTGGGCGAGTGGAGGGGTTTGATGAGAAAGAAGAAAGAGGACGGTAAATGTTATGAATTTGCAACAGAAAAGGTAAGAATATGGGATTTTGTGATTTTAAATCATCCAACATCACATTTGATCCCCAAAGGTGCCTTACGACAGACAGTTTAGTTTCTATAACAATATAATATTTGATTTGATTTGATTTGATTTGAAGAATTTTATTTCTTGAACATGTAGACACCAAATAATAAAAAATTTAAAAATCAACATAGACGTAGACCACAAAATGAGAAAATACACCTTTTGTTTTAAGAAAAGGAGTAGGGGGAAGCAAAAGCTTATAGATACCCACCCCTTTCTTATCCATATTCTCAATTAGTATATATTACTTTGAAGATTAATATCATACATACATACACACACTCACACACACTCTCACCCACCCACACGCACGCATACTCACACGCACAAATAAATACAATTTAAATTTCCTTCACTTAATATTTTCACAGATCTCATATTTGGCTAATGTGTATAATTTAAGATGTTTTTTGAACTGTGCAATATGTTTACAATCTTTGATCTTATCTGGTAAGTTGTTCCACAACTTCACCCCACAGACCGATATGCACCTGCTTTTGAGTGTAGAGTGCACCTTTGGTTGCCTCAGTTTCAGTCTCCCTCTTAAATTATAGTCTCCTAGTCTGTCGCTAAACCAACTTTGAATGTTTCCTGAGAGTAGCCTGTTTCTTGCTTTAAATACAATCTGTAACATTTTAAAATCTTTCAAATCTATAAATTTTAATATATTTAATTTCATATAAAAGTATAGTTTTCAAATTTCAAAAGCCAATTTTCTTTTCCAGCTTTTGGGA